ACCCTCGCTGAAATGTAGAGGATGAGGATGATGTAGTTCTTGTTATACTAGCTCTCATCACCCTTCTCTCTGCCTCTCTCTCCCGTCCAGGCTCTGAGCTCAGAGTTGGCCCAGGCCCGTGACGACACTAAGAAAACGCAGAACGACATGCTGCACGCCGAGAACGTCAAGGCGGGAAGAGACAAGTACAAAACCCTGCGCCAGATCCGCCAGGGTAACACCAAGCAGCGCATTGACGAGTTTGAGTCCATGTGAGGCGGGGTGAAGGGCGGACACAACGATGGAGAGGGACAGTTAGTCTCGTTGCCATGTCAACGCCTCACTTTCCTTGTAAAGCCCAAAAACCTGCCGCCACCGCAGGAACACCTGCTCTTGTTCTATCAGGAGAAAGACCAGCTGACGGGCTTTGTAGCTTCAGCCTCGCCAAAGCTCTGCCAAGCAGCGGTTGGCCAATCACACTGCTACCTGCTTTTTAGAGCTCTCTCTCTCTCTCTCTCTCTCTCTCTCTCTCCCTCTCCCCCCCCAAACAAAGCACATGTCTTTTAATCTGTCGGAAAAATAGCAAGCAACATATCCTGTCAAACGTGGACTCCTCCCTTGTACAATATTGACAATATTAATGCTTGCATGTATGATAATTAAACAGCAACAGGACCGGTAGACAAAGTGAGACGGGACAGAATTGGCTGATATCGTTGCTTTTACTCAACAAAAATAAAATGGCCATTTGTAGCTTTTTGATGTTGCTGGCACATTTGTCCGTAAAGCTTTAATATCTGTACCTTACTTTAATTCTTTTGTCATCAGTTGAACAATTTGAATCATTTGTTTAAAAAAAAAAAAAAAAAAAAAAAAAAAAGGACACGCCTTATTCGTCTCATTTCCCTCCTCTGGTTTTACCTTTTGTTCGTGTTCAGGGGAAGTTAGCCTGTTCCGTTCTGCTATCATTGATCTGTTCATGTTACATCAGCTAATTTATCTTCTTGAATGGCTGTCGGTTTGCTGAAGCTCGCTCTGAGCAAACACGTATGCAAACTGAATCTGCTTGTTTTTAACGCTAACTGTGCTGGCGTCCTCCATCCACTGAGACATTTGTTCAAATATATATTTTGCCCCACAATAAAGAATGAATTTATATTTCCGACTATGAAGCTACAGTATGATCTGAAGAGTCCTGACTGAGATTAGAGCCAGTGCAGCTGGATTTATTGACAGAGGATGTTGCGTCAGACGTACATGACGTACGTACTGTGTATAAAACTAAAAATATAGAGCCAGTTTCTCATTTCTGGTAAATGTGTGCAGAGGAAACGATTTTTAACCTCTATGAATTTGTTTTTCACAAAGGAGGGGGACCTAAGACGTTAGCGTGAGGGCATCAGAGCGAGACAGTTGGTTACCCTGGTAAACAGCAATAAACAACTCCAGGTACTATTTTTTTAATAACGAGAAGACGTTAGAAAAGATTAGGTAACACTGTTTTGGATTTCTCACACAGACACGCTTCACTGCTGCTGACTGATAGCTGGCTGCCGTTCTAAATTAGTATTTGTTTTTAATTACTTGCATGGTTATATGAAGGTTAATGAAAAAAAGAAAACAGCGGACGAACCTTCGAAATAACAAACTCATTCACGTGCAAACAGACAGTAACGTGTTGGTAAAACAAGTTATCACAAATAAATCTTCACTTTTGCACTCAGGTGTGAAGAGGTTCAAACAATAACAATCAGTTAAAAATATATTAAACATTGATGCAAAATTGTTGTTTTCATTTATATGGAGACTAAAAAAATAAATGTATAATTTCTATTTGGATTTATCTTTTATATATATCTATTTATCTTCTATCTAAATCCCGTAATGTGTCTCATCCATCTACATAATGCTGAACCAACTGTGTCTGAAGTCACAGTCACAGGAGCCAGTAAGGAAACTCACAAGGACCAAACAATCCATGAAAGCTTGAGAAGGGCTTTTATTGCTCACTTTAACATCACACACAAGAACAGTCAGTTCACAACAGCACAACAGTTTCCCAGGTTCTGTAGGTATGACAGGTATGTTTTAGGTTTCATCGAGTTCCCCCGGCCCTGCAGCGTAAAGACACCCACTCTGAAATGACACGTTCATACGATAACAGGAAAATGACAAACAAAGACACAATTAAAATTCGTTTAGGGAAAGATGTTTCAACCGATTTCATTAGAAGTAAATTTTTCTTTTTCTAAAAATGCATCATTTATTTTGGCTGCACATAGAAAACTTTCAAATTCACATATCACCTTAAAGCAACACCTTTTGTTAGCATTGCACATTATGCTAAAAATTTAAATAGATACACAACACAATTTGACTTGGCTTTAATTAATACACCTTATGAATCAGCCTCAGGTGCTTATATGACAGCTTTGGGTTTTCGGCACCCTGCCCTTGGACCATCGTTTGGAATCAAACTCTTCATCTGCACATTGAAACAGCAGCAGTGGTAAAATATTTTTATTTGATAATTCTTTTTTTTAATTTTTTACTTTTTTTTTAAATTTTTTATTTGGTTTAATATAACCGCCATCGACCTGAGCAAGGGGAAACATTGGAAACAGCCTTTTACGTGGCTTTGGTCCCTGAAGAGGCAGCACTTCAATCATTTCTGTAGCAGAAACGAAGCTGTATTAAAGCACATTAGAAATAAAGGTGGGAACGAACTGTGACAAACAGGGACCTTTTGATAAAACAGCTGGATTTAAGCCCCCCCCACCCCCACCCCCCCACCACCAATTCAGTTTCTATGGGACATTGTGGGAGAGCTGGCAGCACAGGATTGACCTTTACCGAAAGATGATATGTTTTTACTTAATTTGTCCAAAAGCTCTGTGATACTCTGCCAAAAAATAAATAAATAAATAAATAACTACATAATTAGAAAGTGATGTAGTGGTGGGAAAGCCTCGACTTTTACTAGGTTTTTACTGCGGTTTTAGACGACCTTGAGAAACAGGTACAAACAAAGCTGAAGTGCAGCTTTGCTGAACTTGTGAACTCGTGCCGCCTTTTTCACTGACGCCATATTGACACGTCACGGTAGGAAAACTACAGGAGTAAAAAAAGTAATTAAACTTGAATTCCATGAAGCTGCTTTTCAGTGTCAGGGCATCATTAACATCACGAGTAACACCTGTGCCTGCGCACAGACCCCTCGCTAACGAGGAAGCTTCCTGCCACACGTGCCAGTGGATCTTCGCTGCTAAGGCGTTAAAGTTAAAGGCAAACATTTAAAATATTTCAGACAGCGCTCCACTTCCTGAAAACACACACATACACAGAGAGCAGGCAACAAACTGCAGAGGAATTACAAAGAGAACTGGATTTCAGACCTGAGGTCAGTCCACTTACACAGCACACACACATTTGGTGTGTACATTGCTAACAAAACAAACAACTTCAGCTAGCCTGTACGCTAGCTGTTTGTGGTGTATAAAAACACAGACCATGAAAATACTCATGTTTGCATGAAAAAAAAGAGAAAAAGCAAGGCGTGAATTTGCTTCATGTTCAGCCTGAACTCATTGTGTCCAGTGACACTTAGCTTAGTAACAGATTTAGCAACGTGTACATCCCCTTATTCAGCAACACTGACACTGACTTCACTGTCTTCTTGCAGATAAAACATCACATACAATTTGAAAAATAGCTCTTTAACAAGTTCAGTAGAAAAATAGTTTTTGCCCTCGCACACTAAATATGTTTATTTTAATATCCACAAGAATGTTAACACAAAACCTTTCAGAGGTTTGTTCCATTAAAATGTAGAGTGCATCAACCCTGTGGCAAACACTAGCACACGGTGCCAGACCAGCAGGTTGACAGCAGCTCAGTGATGACCGAGTGACTCAGCCGTCACATCAGTGTCAGGACAATAATTCAACTGACTGTTTAACTGCGTGATGGCTGAGCTCTTGTTCCTGAGATTAACACCTTTCAGATCACAGCGCGGCCCGATTAGAGAAAAGTTTTCCATGTGAGTGAGAGAGAGAGAGAGAGAGAGAGAGAGAGAGCTTTGTGACAATAAAGGAGAAATTGTTGTGGTTGCGGTTTGCGGTTTTTAGATTCCTGGCGAGGGTGTCATTAAACATTTGGAGCCTGAGGTGCAAATTTGAAAAGCTTTGAGGCAAACTTATTATAAAGCTGTCTCTTTTTACTGCACTAATGCTCACAGTCTATCTCGGCTCTGACAGTGCTCTGAGGAAATACTGTTCTCAGGTGCAGTATGGCGCGAAGAGGCTTCAATATGTCTCATAAACACACCTTTTAATATATAGCACCTTTTTAAACCTGGTAAATTTCTGCATCATACTGCGCGTGTTTTTCACCGTGGTTTGAATCGACTCATCCGCCAAACCCAAACCAGTGTTCGAGGTCTCATAATATCTGAGCTACACAGTACCATGCTTTGATATATATAAACAACAACTGTTTCCAAAAAGTGCATCGAGACATTCTCTTCCCTGCACTTGGAAAAAAAAAGGGAATAAAAAGCCCCCCTCATATAAATAAAGGCTAAGTACCAAAGGTGACAAAGTCTGCCACAAATACTCAAAATATTCAACTCGAAATATTTTTTTTTTGTTTAAATATTCTCATATAAAACAATGATCTTAAAAAAGTTTATAGGATACAATTTGTATCAACAAAGAGAGGCGACATCTGGCTACTAGATATTGTGCCGACCAGGCAAGAGTTTTGGCTTTACAAACAGTTCCTCGGACATTTACAACAATCCCATTGGTGGAGATAATAATAGTAGAAAATAACATTAATAGTGCTTTACATTGAGAGAAGACAAGTTAAAATACTTTGAAGGAGAAGGCAAACAAAAAGAGAGAGCTGAGTGGTTTAAAAATATATATACTGATACTACAAAATAAATTATAAGAATACATTTTTATACTTAATAATTAAATTTTGTTGGATAAAACAAGCTATTTGATTGTTTTGATGAGTATTTTTACTATGATTTGACATTTTATAGATTTTATGATGAATTGATCAATAAACTGATAATGAAAATAACCTTTAGTTGTAGTACAGAACATTATTAAGTTATCAGTATCTCCTCTTACAATCTGATGTTTCTTCACCAAACCGCTGAGTTTTAATTTAACCAATGAGATTATTAGTGCCTTTTAAGAAAAGTTTGTAGAACTAAAAACTACTAAAATATCTATTGGCGATCACTGTCATGATATTGGTAACAGAAGATAAGAAGGTGTTTCCCAACTCTTGCCAGACTGTTCCTGTCTCATACTGCAAAGCTTGTGGATCTCTGTGTATTTAACAGAAGGGTACATTAAAGTTACCCCCCCCCCCCCATGTGAGGCAGCTGAACCCTCTGTCAAAGGAGACCCTGTGTCTCGCGCAAACACACACACACACACACACATTCACACACATTAAAAAAGAAATAATAAATTAACACACATTTCACATTAAAATAAAAAATAAAACCAACACTTCCACCTAAACATTTCCGGCGATGCTCTCAACAGCAGTCACCTTCATATGACTTAGAAATTTCATGCGGTTAAAAGAGGGAAAAGAACAGGGGGTGGGTTATGAAAAAAATCAGTACTGAAAGCTGATGAACTGTGAAGTCAGCTGACAGAACCTAGCAAAGGAAATAAACTGTCATTCATAAGTAAACAGCCGCTCGGGGTTTTCGGGTGGAGTTTTTGCGATCTTCTCTCGCGGGTGCCGCAGAGTTTCACTTCCCCTTGGGGGGAAATCCACAAAATGTCACCACAGCATCTGATCTGCCACCTGTTAGAGAAACCCTCGATCCGTCCGTTGAAATAATTTGAACATTAAATGCAGTAGGAATGGGGTTTTTTCTTTTGTTTTTTTTTTTGCAATGTGGCAGTGAAATTTTACGATTGATTCTTTTGTTTGTTTGTTTTTTTTTGTTTTACATAACTCCATGTTGTCATCTCAGTGACTGGACAATTTCACTCAGCTGGAACCTACGGATTTAAGCAGTACTTATACCCTGATATGATTGCCCCTCCCAGAAAAAATAAAATAAAATAAGAAAATAAAAAAGACAGGAACAACAAAAAGTGCCAAAAACAGAATAATTTTAAATAACTTAAAATGTAACAAATAAATTAATTTCAAATGAACAACACTGTCACCCTTTACACATATTAAAAGTCTCCCTAAACACACCGGTGTCTTGACAAAAAAAGTTTAGACATGCACATTAAACCCCAACCTTTCCTGATCTTAAGTGCTGAAATAGCAGGTATATTCATAGAAAAATATGGCAATTTTTAGGATTTCCCTTTACAAAAAATACCATTAAAATTAATGAGACAACTTCCCTGCAGTGAAAATTAGCAGTCCATTAACAGCTCGAGGAGCCGTATATCTTGTGGTTTTGGTTTGTGTGTGTTCATAACCTGACGTCGATCATGAAGATAATCGCAGGGGATACATCTGCAGAGGTGAGCCCGGTTAAGATGAAGCTGTAACTTCACCCTCCGGCTACATTCAAGACCCGTGCTGCGATTTCTCCAACAAAATTGCAGCTGCGAGCTCCTGAGGATCCATCACGTGAGGGTTTCTGGCCATCACCATCCTCACCAGATCTGTAGGGAAGATGCAACACAAGTTAACAAACATCCTCTCTCTGAGGTCCTGGTATCGACCCAAGGCGGGGGGCTCCTGGTGCTGGGGCAGTGAGGGCAGGTGGCTTTTGTGGGGAGTGATGGACGGAAGGGAAAGCTGCGGGAGCGGAGGAAGACTTGATGTTGAAAGGCCACGGGGTGATGAGTGGGCCTGCCTGCCCCAAAGAGGGTGCCGATCCTTCTCGTGGACTTCTGGATGGCTCTGGAAGGTGAACAGATCGTAGCAAGGCTTAGGGGACTGCTGGTATCGGGGGTCCCAGTTTGTCTGATGCTGTGGTTGTTGGTTTAGCCCGGCGTAGTTTCTCCTGGAATGAAGCGGCGACCCTTCGTACACTCGGGAGTCCTGGAGGCCACCTTCCTGCCAAAGGGAACCCATCAGATGGCGGCCCAGGGGAGAGCTCCGAGGGTGGGAGTGAGCAGGGGGCGGTTGGGGTGGGCACTGTGGGCGAGCTGGGAATTCCCCTGGGAAACCGCTCAGCGATGGATGCTGAAGGTGGGGAGGGATGTAGGCCGAAGGCGGTTTGAAAGGATGTGGAGAGGCATGAGAGGTCACAGGAGGTGAAGGGGTTTTCAGGCCAAAACCATGTGGTCTCTGCAGTGCTTGAGGAACGGGATAGCCGTGAGGAGCATACTGGCCCAGTCCAGGGGGGACACGGCTCGCAGGATGGTTGTACTGGCCGGAGCAGTGATGATGGTGATGAGGATGGTGGTGGTGATGGTGGCACTTCAGCCCATCGTCTAACAGAGGGTCAGGGGAGAAGGAGTCGGAGCTGACGCTGCCTTCACTGCTACAGTCTGACGGCAGCGATCCAGCTCGCAGGTCGGCTGGGAAGAAGCATTCAGGACTCTGTGGGACCACCAGACTGAGGCTGGAGTAGGCCTTCACCAGTGAACTGTAGCCTGGCTCTGGAGACTCGCATCTGTGGAAAGTGTCAGCCTGGCTTGGTCCCGAGGCTCCAGCAACCCTGAAACTGGCCCCACCACCTCCCCCAGGGTGCTCCCATGGGTCCAGGTTTCCCGATGAAGGGGGCCCCCCCGGAGCAGGATGCCCCAGAAAGCTGCTGCTGCAGCTGCTGCTGCTGCTGCTGTTGCTTCCCCTGCGTCCTTCCACTTTGGACTGGACCCGGAGCCGGTCCTCCAGGAGGTCGCTGAAGGAGCTTCGAGGGCTGGGGTTTGGCTGTTTCTTTGGAGTTCCCCGACTCGGCTCGGCCTCAGCCGTTCCTTGACCAGAACTTTGGCTCTTCATCATCAGGGCGTCTTCCAGCAGGCCTCTGGAAGCTACTGATGAAATTTTGGCACTGGCACGGAGCTCATCAGCCACGGCACGCTGGGGCTGGCTGCCCCTTTCAGGGTGGTAAAACTTGCACTTGTGACCATATGTGCACTTCTTCCCTAAAGGAGGAAAGAAGAAAAGTATTTCTTATTAACGTGCAGGGAAGAAAATGTTTTGTGACGTCTTGGTTAGTGGATCGTATCTGCATCTTTTTTATCTTGTATTAAAGCACAAGTCACAGAAGTCAAAATATTACAGAACAGCAGTGTATATAAAAGCATGTTTTACCATATGGGCATGGCTGCTTCCTGTGTTCAGGAATAACAGGCCTCTTCCTCAGAAAGTTCTCCAGACTGGGCCCATGGCGTCCCAGTGGGTCATCTGGTGGCATGAATCTAAATACACAGTTAATAGATTAAAACTTTTGTTAATCCCAAATTAGGGTTCTTAAAAAAGCAACTTGAGTCTCTCTTTTTTTATCCTACATCAGTGATGCTCTGCAGTGAGGAATCTGAAGGTGCTCGTGTCATATTGTTGGATTACAACAGATGCTTGTGTTAGTTTTTACAGTTTATTCAAATATGAAGTTACTGCAGAGGCTCTACAGTTTGTTTAAACTGTAAGAACAATAACATTTGCATTTTAGGCGTTAAACTGACAGAGCAACAACAGAAGCACCAATAGGTAACAAACCAACAGGTCTTCTACAGAGGACGAGTCTGTAAAACATCCCCGAGACAAAAGATCATTTAGACAATACAAAACCTGAAGAAGGTGGTGTCTAGCGTATACACAGGGGATTTGATCACCGGGGCAAACATGAAGAGAAGTAATAAAGATCAAAAGAACAGTGGTGAGGAACTGAAAGTGTCTGATAAGTAAATAAGACATCCTCAGATAATTTCCCTGCAAAACTTTCGGACACACACTGGATGAAGTCATTTCTGGGTCACTAAGTTAAAGCTTTTGAAGTTAAAGCATTTCCCCTCTGCCATGTGTCAGTTTTCTATAATCTTGCAGTTTTATTTTCCTTCTCTCCAGTGGAACTCGTTCTCCTTCGACATCAGTTACTTACTTGTCATTTACAAAGGAGTACATCAGCAGACGCTCATCAATGAATTTCTTCCACTCTGGCTTCTCATTGGCTAGGTCACGGTAGTTGTCGTTGGAAACAATGATGCCGTCCGACTCGTAGGCCAGTTTGACGATGAAGCGGTCATCGTAGCAGACCACGCGGCGCCCCTGCACGCGGCGAGACGGTGTGAAGACCAGGATCTTCTCCTTCTCTAGTCGCCGTAGGATCTCTTGGTCTGAAGAAAAGAGGGTCAACAGTTAAACTTCAAACAAGGACGAGACAAAGTTGATAAGAAGAAGAAGAAATCCCCGCCACAGCAGAGGATTTAGACACAAAAGCTACAGCAGCTGTTACCTGTGATGAGAGCGTCAGGTCGCGACTGCTCCTTTCTCCAGGCGGGAACAAAAACAGTGATGTCACGGTGACCTCGCTCCAAGAACCAGTCCACAGCCAGCTGGATGCCTTGACACGAGAACACTTCCTTATTTCCATGACTGCAAGAGCAGAAAAAAAATGTGTAAATTACAACCAGTGATGCAAAAGATAACACTGTTTTGTATTTAAGTTTTCCAGTGGAAAGTCAGAGATAAAGTCAGAGATAAGAGCTTGAGCTGTGGCCTGTGTCACAAAGTGAGGTTAAGCTTTGGCCTGAACACTGGGAAATGCTTTATTATTATTATTATTATTATTATTATTATTATTATTATTATTATTATTATTTGTATTTCTTATTATTCTGTTTCAGTTTTGTTTTATTCTAGTAGTTGTGTATTCTGGCTAAATATGACTTTTATATATGCATTCAAGACATTCAACTTTTAAGACATTTTTGCGACATCAGCACAAAAATATATATTTTGCTATTTAACATCTGTTTTTCATCTGTCTGTTTTCATTCTCAGCTCAATTTCAGCTGCGGTCCGTTCGTTGTTGGATTTTCGTAAGACATACTTCCTGTTTCTTAAACCACAGTAAAAGTTGATCAACACAAAAATTCCTGGCAAAAACTGACTTCTCAAAAAAAGAATATGCAGAAAACACACTTATGGCTTATTGTATTAAACCTGTTTATACTGAAACTACTGAAATAATTATCCACACATACTGTACAGGCCTTTTATGTGATGCCTGCGGGTGTGACCCTATTTTTCTTCTCGTTTGTACAGGCACCTTCCTTTGAAGATGCTTTAATTAAAGAGTTGATTAATAGTCACCATGAAGCCAAACCAATGGAGACGAGAGATCCAAACATGTTTTCCCATTTAGTCAGCATACAATCAGCAGTGTTACGGTATGTTATACGCTCATATGGTTGCTATGGTTACATAGGGTTAGTTTTGTTTTATTTAACAATTTCAAAAAAGAGATTTTCTTCATCGGTGGTTTCATGATGGCGCAGTAAGATGTGGATACATGTGAGCGAAAGTATGAACCTGACATTTCTCACCTCATGGCTACGTTGCTCCCGTCCACCACAACAGGACGAAGGTTTTCTTTGTCCTCCAGCAGCTGGGACGGACACAGCAGGCGACAGGAGTCCAGAGAGGAGTTGAAGGAGGAAGAGGATGAGGAGGAGGAGCAGGTCAAAGAGGTGGAGGGAGACTGGGAGACTGTCGGACCCCCTTGCTGCTCCATCTCTGTCTTGGTTCCCAGTTTGACCAGCTCTCCCAGGACGTCATTGATAAGTGCGCCTGCGCCCAGTTTCTTCAGCACCAGCAGCACCAGCTCCTCGGGGTAGCCCAGCTTGAGGGCGAACTCCACCTTGGTGCGGCAGTCTGTGACGGGGTCAGCAGACGCTGATGTTTCTGGCTGTGTGGGGTCTCTCGGGGATCGGTTTAGTGTCAGGTCCAGCCTGACTGGCTGACAGACGGAGGAGGACTCTTGGTGGTGTAGGTGAGGCTGATCTTGATGAGGATTTTGAGATTCAGACCCATTCTGGAGTCGTTCATCTTCACTGTCGGACACGGCGCTCTCCTCGGAGAAGTTGCTGCAGCTGCTGCTGCTGCTATAGCTTGAATGAGTACTAAAACTAGTGCTGCTACTCCCAGCACTGTTACTGTTGTTACCCGGGGCACCAGCTCTGACCTGCAGGACTCCTATATTCCCAGCAGCCGTCGCAGAGCTCAGACCGCCCTGCCGCTCAGTACCTTCCACATGGAGGTAGTCCAGATCCAGCTCCAGGCTGAGGATGTGGCCTGTCCCATCCTCCAGATGGTCCTTCAGGCCCATGAAGCCGTCTCATACATCCAGCTCCACGGCCTCCGTGACCTCCCGGGCACCGAGCCGACCCCACTGTTACTGCTGATAGTTAACAGCTCACTGACTGGTCCTGGGAGTGAAGCTGCAGGGAGACACAAGGAGCAACTGGTTAAACTTGAAAATATGTACGTCCAAAATGTCTATTAATTTACACATATACACACAAATTAATTCACCTTAGTTTAGCATATATATGAAACACCTCATATGATGTAATGTGCTCGTTTACACCTCACGTTACCATGTGATCTGTATCTGGATATCTTATCTGAAAACGCAAGGTGTAAATGAATGCAGAACATATTGAAACCCGGCAGCTGTCACGTCTGAAGGGTGTCTGGCTCTCCTTCTGATCAGATCTCAGCTCTAAGTGTAAAAATCTCATTTTTATGAAAAAAAACACTGCCCGGTAAGTTGAAAGTTTCCAGCTCCACCTGCCTAATTTGCATATTGAGATCTCACCACACAATCGAGATAAGAAAGCTTATTTATACCATGCCTTAAACAAAAAGACCCAAGATCATGTAAAAACTGAGCTCAAACAGGAGTGAAGGGTTTGTGAAGTTTACTTACACCCAGCAGGCTTTCAAGAGTAAAGTGTAACCTCCATTACCTGCTGCTCCACTTCTGCTGATTTGCATTTTAGCAGCATTGACTTGTCAAAGAAACAGATTAGACTAGAGGCAAGACACCAGGCACCTAAGCCAAGTGATGCCAAACCACCTCACTGTACAAACGTAATTACTGGAAACCATGGCCAAGATTCACACCTTCCAGTGTGTAGACATGCAGGAGCAGAACACTGCCTAAATACACACGGCTACGCTACTGATATAAACTGGCAATTTGTTTTTACAAACTATGTTTCTCTGGATTCCTTAAATAGGCCGATATGTTTCATTGCAGTTGTGTGAGAATAACACGACAACATGCTTCAGTGTGGTCCGTGTAGACTCTCTTGTTACCTAATCTACGCATGCATTAATACGTAACACATTTAATGATAACTCTACCCTGGTATATGACCTGTTACATAAATGAGCAGAAGTCAGCCTCTTACTGAGTTATTGATGAATGAGTGATGAGGCTTTGACAACTCACTTCAAAACTCAAGCCTGAAGCCCTGACACTATAAACTTGTTATTGTGAGCAGTAATGTTTAGAGAGAGGTTACAAACCAATGCATTACTTTGCTGGTGTAAGTTTTTAGTTTTCACCTCAAAATCTATCTTACCGAGAAAATGAGACAGGCAGAATAAGTTCTTTCTGAGAAATGTTTGGGCCCTCCCCAAAACAAGCGTGGGAATTGACACATTTTCCAATGACAAACATAAAACCCGTTAAACCTCCTATTAAGCCGCTCTACAGTGAAGTGCTGCTGCCCCAAAAACCTCCTAATGATGTGTGAAGAGAGATGTTGCCAGCACAGCGCTTTGCAGACATGGGCTCTACTTGAACAACCAGCCCAGGTAGATTAAGACTTGCTCAGGTAGATAAAATTTAAAATTTAAATCTTACATCAGAACGCCTTATTTCACCTTTTCTAACTAACTCATAACTAGAGGCTTCTCTTTGTGCAGCCTTGCTAGAGTCTACCAACAGTCTGCATGTGAGGCATTCAGGGGACATCTGTAAATTGTAGCTACAGAAAACAACGTGGATGACATTCTCCCCCTCAAAGTTCACACATCAGTCACACACTGCGCCATCCACCACAACAAGTGCATAGGTAACATATTTGCATGTTAGTCCGACGTGTGTGTGTGTGTGTGTGTGTGTGTGTGTGTGTGTGTGTGTGTGTGTGTGTGTGTGCGCATGGTGTCACTTATTGATTTTTAATACATGATTATTTCAAACACAATGAACTGAATGGTTTTACCATTTTATGTGCACAGAAAAGCAGAGCGCAGAAGGTGTGGCTAATTAAACAAACAAAGAGACACAGGTGAAAACATGACCTCCTTGGCGGAGTTACTTCACAGTCATACTGTAACTTTTTACAAAATGACAAGGACACGCAGTGTCACTGATGTCAAATACCATACATGTTCCAGTCCAGCCACAGCACTCTTTTAATTCACACTCTCAAAATAAAATAAGATTTGATACTAATGAAATTCAACAACAATCTTTAAAGCCATGAAGCACCGAACACTAAAGTCAAGGCAAGGGTGTAGTTCCCCCTGAAGATCCTCTAATGGTCCTGAAAGCCCCTTTTCTTCCTCAGAGTGGGACCTGCTGGCCCCGTGGGGGTCTACGCATTGGCTGAAACAAAGGGCGAGCTGTTAGGATGGGAAATTGCTTAGTGACCCCTTAAAAAAAACAACATGTGTTCCTTTGCTCACTCATCTCCACTGTATTACGGCCACACATACACACACATTACAACACACTCGGTATAAAATAACCATGCTTTACCAAGACTTCTTTAAAGTTCCTTTATCCTCAGATCTAGTTTCAGTCCTGTGTGTTTGATGCATAGTTTTCCCTCAGTACCAAAACCGGATCTTTTGTTCTTTGTGTTGCAGATTATCAAAAATGTGAACAATGAGGGAGCTCATTCTTTCAGTTGCTCCACTTGCAAACACAAAAGCACATTCTTCACAGAGGGCTGTTTTACGAAAAGGAAACAACAGTCAAGGATCAGTCGTATGATAACTGAGTTCAATGCAGCACCTGTGACCGCTGCTATGATATGGACAGAGGGGCTGTGGGCTGGCTTTGGGTTGCTTTTGACACCAGCTCACACCACAAACAAATCAGCATCAGTGTGTTTGTGTGCAACATTGTTTATCTGTGGAAATACCCATAAAGGATGAAGGGTACTTCCAAAGCATCAGACTGCTCCCAGGATGTTGAGAAAACTATTTGAATGCATCAGCTACTTACAACTTTGGTGTTTGTACTTTAAACTTTAAACTGCTCAGATTCAGTCTCACCTCTGTTTGAATCGTAAACCATCGTGATGTTAACGTTAATTTAATCTGACACGGCAGTGCAGGGCTTCAGACACCATGTAACTTTGCTGAAGAGCAGCAGACACTGTGGCCACAAGTGATAAATACGCACCGTATAACGTGACTGAGCTGAGAGCGTGAGAAATGTGTCTCCTGGTGAAAACAGCTATAAAGTGGTTGAAGTAAAATCTAAAACTTGATAACCTTTGCCACCACAAGCTACTGGCTATACCACACTGAGTATTGAATTGAGCAAGGTTGATTTTTATTGCTCAGGATTTTAACTTCTGATTGGTTAGAGGAAGCTTGTGTTACACAGGCTAATTTTAAATGAAGAATAACTCAGTACCTGAACATAAAATGGCTTTAAAAACACGTCAAGTTTAGAAAAAATGATTCTCCACCAATCTCTGCCAGTTGGTTCAGAAGAGTTCATTTAGAAACACTGTATGCATGCATATGTGTGGCTATATTTTAGAGACAGTTGGAATGAGAGGTCTCTTGGATCTTGGACTAAAGCACCGCAAAGCAGGGGCCTCTTAATGTCCTGACCCCTCATGTCTAAGCTGCTGCACCACTGTTTGTCACCCTGAATGCCACAAGAGAACTGGAATAATTTAGTCCGCCAACAACAAAAGAAGCACAAAAGGAAAGAGAGAGAGTGTGTGTGTGTGTGTGTGTGTGTGTGTGTGTGTGTGTGTGTGTGGGTGGGGGGAAGAAGTGTGTCTGGCTTGCCGTCCTTCAACAATGCAGCTGCCACCCAATCTGTCCTCCTGTGACGGGAGTATTGTTCTCTCGGCCTGAGCAGCGTGCACAGACGGAGGCTGGGGGGGTTTTTAAACCCATTCACCCCCCACCAACACACACACACACACACACACACACACACACACACACACACACTGGTAATGCAGCATTCACAGCAGTCTCAGAGTCACAGGTTGCCAGACAGGATCTTTGAGGAGTCAGCAGAAATATGACAGTGACACAGCAAGTGTAAATCACCCAGTCAGAGGCAGGAAAGTTCGGTCTGTGTGATCACTGCAGTCTGAAATTATAGTATCGCAGAAAAATATGTAAAATAACCGCAGTAAAAAAAACAAAACACACAGCATTGGGCAGAATACAGCGCTCCAGAAACAATGCTGCTGTGGTGAAAGAAACTCAAAAAACTGAGAAAAGGAGGCTCTGCACTCTTTTTTTAATGCCAGTGAGAAACAACGAGACACGTGTTCAGTTTCTTCTAGTAAATGACATGAAAGTTAATCTCTTTTTTAATAGTACAACCCCTACTACAAAAGTACTATGACACTATGATGGTCTACGTTATTGATCAGATGAGTCAATCATTTCAAGCAAACAATTTTTTCTAAGAAGTTGAGAAAACACGCGCTAAAGATCCAAATTTTTATAATACATCCCTAAAATATTTAATACAGATTAATATTATTAATAATATACTCAACAATAGTTAAATAAAATGTTTGGTTTTTTTTCACATTCACACTTTTTTTTTTTTAAACATGAATATAAATTGTATTATTGCTGCAGAATATTTTTTAAAAAATGCAGTAAAAGTCTGGAGCATTAAAAATGTATTTGTGAAAAACATGGATGAATACCAGTAAATAAATAATAATAATAAAATGATCGATGTCAGAAATGAATGAACAACGGTAATCTATGAGCAGCTATTCTGACAAACTATTTATGCTGTTAAAATATTCATTATGAAATATTTTATAACCATTTCCTGCGCTTGAAAGCTCTGTGAAAGATTGTAGATTACTTTCAGTGTGAAATTAATGTTGAGATTAAGCTCTATGGAATTAACTGTGGTACTTAGTAAAAGTACAGAAAACAGATCAGCCTCTTCGGTTTAGACCTGGACTTACAAGCTGCAGAATAAAATCAGATCGGCCAATCAGATTAGTGAATATGTAGAAACATACAGCTGCACAGGAAGCGTTTGGGTAGATTCTGCTATGACAAAATGTCAAATAATGAACGTGTGGAAAGTGACACACACTCTTGATATTTCACTATAAAATAGCACAGATGGACATAATAAGCCACCTGTCACTGTTTTATGGTGTTTTATGTGCATCAAATCTACAAATCCACCATAATATTGAGCTACGTCATTTTCTTATCAATATTTTCTGTATCAATTGATTTTTAAGAATAAATATAACATTTGAGTTGCTTTTTTTTTTGGCCTTTAGCCTCAAAGATTCAACAGCTTTTTTTGTTAAACAAGATATTTGAACTCTAACCACATTCATTTGCAATGAATTCAGATTTGTGAGTTACAAACTTAACGTAGCAGTTTTTATTTGTCCTTAATGCTCGGGAAAAAAATCTCTCCATTTCCATAATGTTGAAAGATCACAACCATTCTTTCAATTCCTTTGGTTGATAATTCCGACATTGAGAGATGCCCCTCAACCTTTTTAATAAAAATTACTTTTGCCACTTGCCAGGGTTTTTCTGCTCATTACGTTTTATACAGACAGAAACTTCATCGTAACTCGTCTCTCAAATAACTTCTGTAGGTGTGTATGTGCGCAGAGGGAGGAGGGGCCCGAGTCCTTCCATAGTGAGCAGATGCTGCGGCCTCCACCTCAGTGACCCAGCCTGCCTGCACTGCCTCTGCACTCTGTCTATCTCTGCATGTGTCAGGATCCAGGGTTAGCCCCCTTGGGGGTATATGGAGGGATGAGCTCCCCCGAGGCCAGACCGGGGGACCAGTCCCTCAGGGCTGCCGAGCGGCTGCCATTTGCTGGCTGAGCCCAGCAGTGAACCAGTCTGCCACACCAGTGACCGGCTGGGGTGGGGGGGACAAAGGGGGTGTAAGAGGGTGGGGGTGGGGGTGGGGGTATATATGGGCAGCGGGGGCAACAGATGCCTGCTGAAGCCACAGGGGACCTCCGTGAAAGCATCCTCCTCCTCCTCCTCTTCCCTCCACTACGGCTTTCCTGCAACTGGTGGTGTCCAGCTTCGTCCTCGGTGATACATATCACCACTTTCTGTCATGTGACCTTTTAGGTAGGGGGCTGTGGGTGACTCTCACTTTCACCCTGAGTTGAGCAGACTCTCAGTTGGTTACGTCTGGTTCTGCCTCCCTCTTTCTTACTAAACCCAGGATCAGACATGTCACAGGCTTAATGTGTGTGGATATAGTGGTGAAAGTGAACTCATTGATCATCACTGGTCCAACTCCCATCATTATATACAGTACTCTCTGACTGGTTTGGGATGAATGAAATTGGAGTGAAATTAAACAGCTCCTTATGATGTGGGAGAACCCCAAGGAATCCCCCACACAAAGACTTTCAGTCTCAATTTCACTTGTGAACACACTTTATATTGTGTATCGACACTAAAACCTTCCAAACTGAAGAATACATTTCTAAAAATCACACGTGGGAAATATCAGGCATTGTCTGTCTATAGATGAAACAATTTGAGTGGCAACCTTCAACATGTAAAAAAGATTTGAGCTACAGACAAAAGACACAAACATCACAACAACTGTTGGACTTGAAGTGTTTTTTGTCTCTTGCTGACTCATTATTCCACACATGAGTATTGTGGTCACATCTGCATGTTGTTGTTGCTGTTAAACCCATTGACTGTGAGGTGAGTACAGACAATATAATCAGGGAGATTTTGCGATAAAGATAATCATGATAAAGCAATGACAAGGCATGATAATGGCGCTTTCAATTTTCTTTAACATGCAAAACTAGGCTAAGCCAAGCCAAATGCACATGAAAAGAAAACACAAACACTTACCACACAGCTCCAAGGGAAACAGCAAGGCAGCAACAACTGAGAAAAACTCCTACAATTTCTCTCCTGAAACGCTGCCTTCTGTCATTCCAGCTGCAAAGCACAAGAGTAAGACAAAACTTCAGGAGGAATTTCCAGTGATGGTGATGATAAAGTAAGCCTGGATGTATGACACAAAAAAAAAATCCTTTTTAAAGCAAAAAAAAATTAAGTCAAATTTTAATATCCACTAGAGAGTTGGAAAAAGTAAAGGTGTCAATCCAACTGGGCTGAGCAAAATGAGTTTCCTGGTTGAGTTTAGCAGCAATCCTAAGAGATCAGCATTCAAGTTCTCCTTTTTGGTTGAGAAGCAGAGTGCAGTGTCCTGAGGCTGCAGGTTCAGCAGTGTGACTGACAACAGATGGAGTGTAAGGCATCTACCATCCCCTCCTCGCACCGAGTCTGCCCCACGGACCAATACGAACGCAGAGATCCTACCACAAACACACACGTCTCACTTTCCTGTCTTCACCAAAGCTCATTCTGTACACAAACCAATCACCCATCTCTCAGCCAATAAAAAGGGAAACCAAGATAAGCTAGGATAACTCCACCCCCTTCACCACAAACCCCCCCACCCCAAAAACCTCACAGACACACACACAAACACATACACACCACCACCACCACCACCAGCCCATCCGCCGGCATGAGCCATGAATGGACGAGAAGGCGTGAGCTGACAATGGTGGGGAGAAGGACACAAAGGAGGGTCCTCGGCGGGCAGCTGCACACAGACACACCATGCTCAGGGCCATTACACACACACATACACACACACACACACACACACACACACACACACACACACACACACACACACACACACACACAAATACAGATACATGAGGAGAAAGAGCAAGTGAAAAAAAACACAGGACCCAGAATTCAGCCCTGCGGAACACCTGGCCCGCTGGGGACGGCTGCCGCCTTCGACCTCTTTGTTTCATGGGTGGGGGATTGGTTTGACTCAGACAATGAGACGAATTATGTTAAAAGTAGTGTGTGCTCCCAAAATGGGTGTTAGGAGTGCAAGTGCGTGTGTGTGTGTGTGTGTGTGTGTGTGTGTGTGTGTGTGTCTGACAGAAAGTTAGCAGGTGGGGAAGGAAGCTGTGAAGGGAAAAAGCCTTCAAACTAACAAGAGGCAGAAAAGGAAAAGAGTGGGAAAAGACAGAAAAAGAGGGAAAAAAAGCAAGAGTGGGGCTTTGTTGTTTGGACACGGCCCTGACAAAATGGCGGCAACTTTTCAAAGGCCTTAGATTGTGAGAAGGGGTATTACTTTTAGGCTCAGAGGAGATTAGAAACAAAGACTGGCTGCCTGTCAGGCTGGACTTAAACAGTTCCAGTTACCAGGCCATTTCATCTTGAGAAAGGAGGAGGTTTATTATTTTTTCCAACAGTGACAATGGAACAAAACATGATTTACCCATCAACAGAGAAGAGTACAGAACAAGTGTGATAATATACCAAAAGAACCTGTCAAGAAGAAATTGAATCCTTGTTTAATTACTAAATAAAATTAGTGTGAAATGCTTGAATTTCTTGAAGATTCATCCTCTGGGAACCATGAATGAATTATTCACCCAATCATTGTTGAGGTTTGAGACATTTCATTCTGGACCACAGTGGTGGACCGACTGATATTTCCATCCATAAGGTCTGATCAATTTCATTCTTTAGTTAGTTATTTGATCTTATTCTTTGTCCAAATTTAAATGACATGTTTTCATGTTGTATTCAGGCTAAGTTCTTGGACAGCTGCTTGTGTTTAGATGATTTAATATTTGCAAAGTTTTTTGTTTTTTTTTGTCAAATGCAAAAAAGAAAATAAATTTGGGTATTTAAACTTTTCAAATGATACTGATTCAACCTTAAGTACTTTACAGTTTGACCTTCAAAATATTTTCTCTTTGCTAGCTTCCTCCTGCCTCACAGGCAGTGATGCGCATCACTTTTCCTGTTTGAAATAAACACAAGATAATCTCCAGTGGATGATGTAGGCATGGAGATGTCACAGCTGTGCCCAAACAGTCTAAACGAAAGGTGATTTATGGGAAATGCTAGTCATAAAATCATACAAAAATGTGAATGTAGCATCTTCAAATCTCCTCTATTTGTTTTTGAAGCGACCTATTAAGGCCAAGCCTGAAAACTCACGTTTGGGGAACACGGCGGGGGAGGGTTAGAGGGAGGAGAGTGTTTCCTGAATCAGCCATCACCTGCACTGTACCGTCTACACACCTGCTTCCAATTAGTCATCAAACCCAGTATATATCCACCTGTTAGCCAGCATTCACTCCTTTGCCTTAGGTTCACTTTTACATACCTATCAGACTGTCCCCTTTTCTTTCTTTTTTTTTTTTTCCTATGACTGAGTAATGACCCCTCCCTTGAGTCTTCACTCCTGTGCCAGTTTTCTGAATTCCCACTGATGCTGTTTGGCAGAGACACCAGTTGTAATAAATAACGCCACTTTGTCAATGTCAGCTTTGGAGAGGGTTCTTGATTTCACTCACCAAACTGAGAAATATCCACAAAAGAAAATAACAAAAACCTTATATCATCTAAACCAGTCCTCACCTTACGCAACTGAAACGGTCTGCTCAGCCTCAGGAGGTTAATCCCATATCTTGCAAATACACAGTGTGTGAGTGTGCTAACATTAATGTTTTCATTTTCCCCCCTTGTCAACTACATGTATTTATTCAGGACAACATAATAGAACTGATAACACATCACATAATAAAGAGCACGAACAAGCATTGAGTGTTTGGGTAAATAACAAGCTGACTGCAAAGAATAAACAAACAATTTTGTGTAATTGTAACACATGTTTGCTATCAGTTTTATTTCTCAAATATGTTTATTGTTCTAATTACTCTAACCGATTGTGACACCTTTTGGCAACTTGCGCCGATGGCTTCCTGCCAGCCGGACAAACCTGAAGTAGGCCTTTTGGAAATATTCCCTCAAACAAAGGATTGTTCATTTTTAAATGAACAAATGTAAATTTATGACTTAAAAAGCAGCCAAGCTTCTTCTGGAAAGCCCAGGTCTGAACATGCAAATCTGCTGGGTGTAGTTCCCATTACAGTATTAGCTACAACATGAATCTTATCAGGGTTATTTAAAGTTATTACAGTAAATGTCATTGATAGTGTATATGGACATTCTCTATGGAACAAAGATTTTTGTTTGGCCTTAACCACATGAATTTTTAAAACCTATTGGTTTACCAAATATGCCTGCAAAGTTATTGACAGTTATCTCTCCATCTACAGAGAGGGAGGATTAAATTGGCTGTAAATGGTTTTAAGTTTGTGAAAGTTACAGCTAACAACAAAAACAACTGATATTTTAGAGTGATGCATCAGAGCTGATTTTATTGAATTTTTTCTGCCAAAATAATCTCATCCGGCTGGCATGCATCAGAAACTGTGTAGAAATACTAAGGGGACACAGCAAATCGGCCAGTGATTTTAAATAATTTTTGGCTCATCATCATGTCACTCCGAGCCAACACCATGGTAACCCTGAATACACACAAAAACAGAAACCAACCACTGAACCTTGAGGCAATGTAAGGTATGTATATAACACACAAAGCTACACACAAAGAGGAAATTCTATCATATCAGAAGTAGACAACACATTGTTCCATTGCCATATGTGGAGCAAATCATAAGCACCTGTAAATTCTGTCAGTAATTTTTCTTTCAAAATGAGACCTGTTGGTGCAAGTCAGCCAGCGGCGGTATGATATTATCTTTCAACTCGTCATTTAAGGTGTTTAATGATGATTTCACTTTATTATTTTTCTGAAATGTGTCTTGCATCAGAAACAGTTTGCCAGACAACAAAACAAACACTACAAATATCTGTGCTAATTCCCTTTTATCACTCATGCGCTGCGTATGAATAAACCCTATGCAATAAATTCTATTTAATGTGATACTGTAAAGATTTATTTGACATGACGCTATGATTGAGCAGTTCCATTATTAAACTCAGTTACACTTTGGTATTTTAGTTAGCATGCACATTATCTCATTATGCCAACTTCACTATTATAAATCATTTCTCAAGCCTACAAGCATTAACTGTTTACAAGAAGAAAAAAAAAAGAATTAAACAAATACCATAAAACCTAGGAATATAAACTATTAAACAAAGATTAGCTTCAGGCAGTTTATTGCATTGCTTAGGAAGCTTCATAGTAAAAGCACGTCTATATCTTGTCATTAATCTCGTTTGTATCATTCCACTGTGGGTGGGAGTGTAGTATAGGTATTACAAAAATCATATCAGTCAAACAGTTAATTTCTCACATTACAGTCATTTCATTACTGATTTTGCTCTCGAGCCTCTGTCACCCTCCCCTACCCCCCCACTCCTCTCTGACTTGCAGTGACTCCTTAATTGGGGCTCAGCTGACAGGTTTTTCCCTCGGGGAGCAGGAGCCATGTGGACCATCTGCTTCTAGTCGCAGGATGAACAGGTGTCCTGCTCCCCGCCGCCTGCCTGCACCACACCGAGCCCCTCGATCGCAGCACAGCGCAGCACTGCGCAGCGCTGTGCTGTGTAACTGCTGTTTACACGAGATAAATCTGACTCGTTTTGTTTGATCTGTGTGGCAAACAGAAGAGGAAACATATGGAAATACCACCTAATCTGACAGAATGATCACAGCCATGAAGAACAGAGTCAGATAAACTCTTCGTCTGATCGATGCATCTATTTTCTAAAAGGTATCCATGTACTTTTAAGAAACTTTTCTTATATATGCAAACCCACATAATTATCCAACTGTAGTCTGTACCTTTTATTAGATTAATTATTTTTTGTGAAAATATTTGTTTATTTTACGTATTTTGTTAAACAAACTAAGTTACTAACTAACTGATGAATAAATGAATTTAGCTTCACATAAGTGACATGTCTTCTGAACGGGAGGAAACTGTTGCAGAAGCAGGAAACCCACACAGACACAGCTAGAACGTATGAACTCCACACAGAAAGTCATCAGCCAGATTACCTGATTAAATCAATGTCAAATATACAGTAACGTAAACATCAACCATGACTTAATGCTTCTTCTCCCTCTGATAATTTCCCTATTCACCATTTCATATTTATGCAATAGTGACAGAAATGCTTAATAATAATAAATAGTAATCTTTTTAATATCTATATCTTTGTGTGTCCCGTTGATTATTTGCACTCATTTAGAAACACTGCCATCATGAGCAGTGCTGTCCAGAGAGAGACACCGTAGACTCTATGCTGCTATGAAACTCATGTTTCATAGCAAATCCCTCCAGAAGAAAACTCTAGCGCGCTTGATTACGCCGAAAGTCCAGAGACAGGACAGAAAGGACAGAAGACAGAGTAGGTGTGAAGATAATCCAGGGCAGAGGGAACAACAGGAAAAGAGGCTGCAGCAGCTCGGCCTTCAGCCCGCTGGGCAAACACTGATCCAGGCAGCGGGGATTACTCCAGCCCCTTAACAAGGCCTGAGAGGTGGATACAGGGAGAAGAAGAGGTTGTCCAGCTGGTATCATCCGCACACACTTTACAGGCATAATGCTATACTAACAGCCCCCACACATGCTCCTACCTATGAAGAGGGAAGCCAAACAAACCAGACCAGACCACATGGTGTGTGTGTGTGTGTGTGTGTGTGTGTGTGTGTGGAGGGGGATGGGACAGGGTCATCAGACTTTGAAGCCACAAAAGGTTGGCCTTAGGCCCAATGCCCTCTGGGTCACTTAAGGAGGCAAGGAGGCAGCATGAAAACATGTACGCGCACACACACACACACACACACACACACACAAGCACACACACACACACACAAGCACACACACACGCGCGTGCACACACATACCACCTGCTGTTCGCCCAGGCTCGTGTTTGGTGTAATGAAGATGGAGTGATTCAGCAGCCACACAAAGAAAGACACAGTGCTGAGATTTACCACATAACTCAGGCCAATAAAACCTCCGCAGCAACCTGGTCAGCATCTGAACTGTACTTTCAGAGAGGAATGTAGCAATTAGTCTGTTCCTAATTAAACTTAACATCTTCAGTTTGCTTGTTTTTTCTGACTGAGGCTAGTGTTGCACATGCGTCCTTCAATCGGACTAGAAAGTAGTATAAGAGCAGCTACACGTGCATCTGCAAGGGAGTATGATTGAGCCCAAAACCCAAAGATATTCAATGTATTATCACATAAAACAGAGAAAAGCAGCAAATCCTCACATTTGATAAATGACTTAAACAGTTAATCTAACTGGTGCAGAAGATTCTTGACATGAGTTTGAAGTCTTCACTGGAAAACCACTACAGCAGTCAACACACAAACTTCTGCCACGTGTTTGTCAGCACACAATGATGAAACACTTTCAGAAGTGTTTCTGAAGAAAATAAACTCTGCTACGACCTACGATGTTCTCTCTTCTACCAGCTTCAGTGTTTGAAGAAAAAAAATTAAAATTATGACATTACCCTTAATGTTCTAGGTGCTGGGGTTCCTGGAGCACAAAGCGATTTCAATAAGTTTATTCTAGACATAGAAAAACAGGAGATTATCATCGGTTCCCAATGAGAGTCAGGGGAATCTGGGACTTTTCAGCCGATGACAAACCAGGAAGGAAAAGCAGTGTTTACTCATGGAGGAGCGACTAAAGGAAACATCATAGAATCTCACACTCACAGCTCTACTGTTATGATCAGATGTCTTTCATAGACTACATACAGTGAGTCACACACACACACACACACACACACTCTCTCTCTCTCGCTCTCTGTCACACACACACACACACACACACACACACACACAAATTCACAGCACCCTGATTAAGTCATGATAGATCGTCCCCACAGGGCCTGGCCTATTGAGTTTGTGTGCATGTGTGTGCGTGTCTATGGTGTGTTTTAGCAAATTTCCACATTTACATATATCCTGGTGCAGGCTTGTGCATGTGGTGTGTGTGTGTGTGTGTGTGTGTGTGTGTAAGGGTGCATAAGTGCGGTCATGCGTCTGACTATGTGCAGGTGCGTGAAAGTGTGTGTGTGACATCAGGGCGAGTGCCAGGTCAGCGGGGTCAGCGAGGAACAAAAGCCCGGAGCAGCTCCCAGCTGCCGGGCCAAACGTCATCCAGCACTACCCCACCCCTCCCATCCCCCTTCCTTTTCAATGGGAGCGTGCCGCTGTCCTGCTTCTGCTGACACATGCACATTTACACACACACACACACACACACACACACACATACACATGAACATACAGACGCACACATGTCCCGCCTGGCGTTCCACAGTCATGTCTAGAGCTCAGTGCAGCAGGCAAAGGGGGTAAAAGGGCACATGGGGACATATGCAGAGCATGCATGGATGCAAATGCTCAACACTGACCGACATCTGAGTACCCTGTCTCCTAGAGATTATACTTGTATAATACATGGTGCGAATTTGTTTTGCCAATCACATTTTACAGGAAATGTTATTTCTTGTAGAATAACTGCCACATTTTTAACCACTGGACTTGGAAGTTGTAGGGAGGCGGTGTGGATCGATACCGCTGGATTTCGATTGCACTGATTGGAGTTGATGTCCTGAGTCCTGCTTTTGGTTTAGGCAACAAAAGCACTTTGGTTATGAACAGGACAGGAAGATCTTGGTTTCAGTTTTTGCATCTTTGCAAAAAAGTTAATTAAAATGTTTTTTCACGGGGCGCCTCAGTAGTAAAACTTGTGCCATGAAGGCTTAGTCCTAACTACAGCGAGTTCGAGTCCGACCTGTGGCCGTTTGCTGCATGTCATCCCCCCTCTCTCTCTCTCTCTCTCTCTCTCTCTCTCTCTACAACTTTCCTGTCTCTTTTTGTGGCTAGAATAAAGGCAAAAAAAGCCTGAAAAAATAAAACAACTTAAAAAGGATGAAGTTTTTTCATTGAGTTGATAAAAATGTAACCCAGATCGCATAACATGTCTTGTAAAATGCATTTCTATAATGTAATGTAATTAAATTAAATGCTGTTTTGAATCCGTAGCACAAACACTTCTAGACTTCTAGCATTAAATGGAAAAGCCTTAAAATTGGACTTAAATACATTCATTAAATGTACTAAGTTTATTTCCACCATTATTAGAAGACGTAATTAATTTTAACATTCATTTTACATCAGGAGGGCCAAGTAGACATTTTCAGCTGATAAATACTTACAGTTATATAGTTTAGTCTGAATAAACAGACGTGTCCCACAGTACAGTTAACATATGTATGTAACTTTCTGTCTCAGACTGCTGCTCTTCAGAAGGCAGGGCTTTTCACAAGAAAATAGGGAGAACTCTACATTTCTATTTTAATTTTCTAACATAAAGTTTCCTATAAGTGCAACAGCAGTACTGTAGTATCGGTTGTGTTAGAAAAAAGCTCAACAAAATAATTCTGAAAGCAAAATTAATTTTACTTACTTTAAAGGTCGTTTGCTTTGTGTCATTGATGAAAAGTTACTGATGACATTTTCTGTTCCCCATCATCACAGCTGTCAACTCACTCTGAGTGTAGGTTGTTGTGTTTCAGGATCAGCTGAGTGACTGAACCAGATACCACCGACGTGATGACAGGTAGCTGTCCACAGCTAAGTGTCTTGTTCTCTGTTAAGACACTTTGCATATAAGCGCAGGGAACAGTGAGTGTGTGTGTGTGTGTGAGTGTGTGTGTGTGTGTGTGTGTGTGTGTGTGTGTGTGTGTGTGTGTGTGTGTGTGTGTCAATGGAGGAGCAAACTGAAGTTATTGAGTAGGGATTATTCCCTTAAACTAAAAATCATGTCACAATTTGAACCATTTACTCTCTGATTCACCGATTCATTAAACATTTTTGTTTCTAAAGGTCATTTCTACTACTTCATGTTTTTTCTTATACTGTATAAAATCACTGTAGTTGTATCTTCAACAATCTGTAAACATGTCTGTACTCTACATAGATTTTACTGTAGTTAATGACGAACAACATATTGACCTCTAAGTAATTCCTTTTGACTAATCTTATCAAGAGTTGAGCTCTAATGGCCAATAGCAAATAGAAAATGAATTTATTGTAAATAATGATAATTTTGGCTGGTATGGTTTTACTAAATTGATACTGTGCCTACAACAGGCAGTGATGATTTTTTTATGGAGCAGTTTACTTTTGACTTTCTGTATAGGCTCATAATATTCCTGTAAAAACAAAGTGATGTTTTACATTTCCCTTTAAAGCATATCATAGTGTGGCACTAATTTAGGTTTTTCACGTGTGAAATATAAAATATGTTGCGTATGGGAATAAAAATCGATGACAAGTCACCACTTACTTTTTTACGCGGCATCCATCCCGTCCTGAATCAATCCTCCATCACACACAGAGACACCGACCCGGGAACAAGGCAGAAGATGAAGCAGGACTTCCAGGGACCAGCTGCGGTCTGTATTAACAGCCGAGAGAGTCGGAAATAACGATGTCATCAGTTGCTTGCCGCGTATGACTGAGAGAGAGAGAGAGTGTACAGCAGTTTCCATTTTCTACCTGTCTGACTGTCTCCACCCAGCGGCCACCATCCACATCTGTCCGCCATGAAAAGTGTCTTGTTCAGTCTGTGTTGAACACAAGGGCTTTTTTTCCCCAGTGTATTTTCCTCTTTGCACTTTTTACATTAAGTTTTTGTCTCTCTAAATTTGTTAAAAGTCTTTACCGCGTAATCTTTCCAGCAAACTGTAAATAAGCAAAGTAATCCTACCAGAGAAATAAGCTTCATTAACTACAGAGCTATTCTTTGCAGTATTGAAGAGGACGTGGTAGATTTAGCAGACAACCGTCATGGTGAACCTACAGTAGCATTTGTCTCCCTCTGCTGGACAAACGGTGTAACTACAGTTAAATCAATAAATATTCAATGGTGGGCCAATATCCCCAGAAGGTTAGTTTGATAGGAGAAAATTATTTAATTAGAGGTCCAAGCCGTGAATGCTGTTGGGACCTTATTGTTTTTGTTCTCATGCGTTCCGCAGCAGAAACTACCTGAGAAAAACTCAGGCGCACAGGCACAAAAAATTACACTAATTATCTGATAGGTGACGCTATAATAATGAAATATCAGTTTTTGCTTCTCGAAAACGAATTGGACTATAGTTAACATTCTTTTGCCATTTTCGTCTGCATCTTTAACCTGTATTTCTGCACAACCTACACTGTATATAAATCAGTGGCGTGCCGTCGGGGGGCAAGAAAGGCAAGCAGTGTAATCGCCCAGTTAAAGCTAAAAAATAGACATTGATTTGAACAATACTGAAGTGGAAGCGACATTTCTCCTTATGTTTGGTCTCAGGAAAGCTTTCTGTTTCATCAAGGATCTGCTGCCTGTTTGCATTCATCATATAATTTACTGCCCACTTGTGATGGCAGCGGGGTATTGTCCCTGAAAGCTAGCTTGACTTCCAGCCGCTGTGCTTATCGTTGTTGTCATTTTCGAAAGCGGCTTAATTCGCGCATGCGCGTTGAGGTTGTGCGTATCTTGCACATGCGCAGACTTATGTGGAAACCAGACTTGCTTATTAAGCGCGAAGAGGCAGCAACAAGCGAATTACATTAGTTTATCAGCTCTATGCAAGATTTGCTGTAAATTTGAGACAGAATATTGTTACAGGAGTAGTGAAGCTCCTTTCTGGAATAGCTCAGTACGTAGGTTGTCCGAAAGAGAGAGAGAGAGGGGTGAGGCTGGCGACCAGAGTAGAGAGTTAGCTAGCTAGTTATAAGTTAGCAGTGTGGCTGTGAGCGTAGCAGTGAAATGTATGTGCACTATAGATTTCACTCTAGAAAGAAATGCTATGACTACTTGAGAGCGAAGTTCCCCTGTGCTTCCCAACTACAGTCCAGACAATGAGCCGGGAGGATTAACAACACTGAGGCTGGAAAATACAGGATTCTACATTGTCACTGGAGTGTGTCATTGTCAGGTAATGGTAAATATTTTTGAAGATTATCATTGAAGTGATTGGATATTTTTCCTCTATGCTGCACATTTGATGTGTTTAGTGCCACTTCAGAGGATCAGACAATCTAAAATAATCTTAAAACTTCTTCAGACAGGAAGGGGAAAGGTGAAGATGTCCTGGCAGAGAGCATCAAGATGCAGGAGCAGGACGTCCAGCACAGGAAAGACAGGCAGCACAAAACCATGAGACCGGACTGGCCCTGAATTGAAGATCCAAGAAGACTGAAGATTTGCTACTGCTACTGTCATGAAAAGGTAGATGTTAGTCTGGTCCATATTTTTTTGGGTACTGAATCTCTGAGTTGTGGGGGGGGGGGGGGGGGGGGGGGTGTGGAGTTGCAACTACGTTGTGCCTGCCTGTGTGTAAAAGTCACCGCATGCCACTGATATAAATGTATTAAATTACCTTATCTTTATTACTTTAACAATGGGGATTAGACATACATGGGTAGCCTCTAACAGATGCTAAACCTATACATTTCAAAGTAAAAGCTCATAACAAACAGTAAATACAACCAGACAAACAGAATGACAGAAGCTGTGCTGTCCAGTAGCACAGAGCTGAAGAGAGAATACCACAGTGGTTCCCACAAACAGCACGATACTCCTATACTGTATATCTCTGTTGGTACTGGAAACAGCACCCTGGCCAGTAGTCATGAAACCATCAAAACCTTGCTTATTTTTATAGGATAATCAACCCATACTGAACATCAATACAGGAGGACGCCAAAGAGTTTATGCTGACTTAGTTGACAGATTATATATTAAACTATACATATACAAAGTGCATAATAAATTCTTACATATCCAAAATAAGTATCCTTATTAAGATCCAAAAGCTTCCTCTATATAGCTACAATAAACACATTCCTTCTGGACTTATTTGCATCATTCATATATAAACAATATTGCTGACGCCTGCGATTTTTCCCACACATCTGTATAAAAGGACTAGTGAGTGTGGACCATCCTTCAGATTTTTTTAGTACATGCTACAGGTCAGTCATTCCAGGAAGGGCAGAGCAAATCAAACTGCACAAGGGCTTCAAATAATCACAGAGGGAGAACATTTTCTGGCTGGTGTGGCGGGCATCAGGTATCGCACCCTCTTCCAGAAGCGCGAGGTCCATGCGGCAGCACCCCGTGAACCATCTGGCCACTTCAGTGGGGCACTCTTGCGAATCAGGTGCTGCAAGCCGACGGGAAGGTCTGTGTATCCTTGGGGCCCAGTTTCCCCCAGCTGAATCAGAATCACACTCATCTCCCTCTGGACCAGCGCATGGTGGATCCCCACCTGGAAAATGATCAATGACATTTTTTTTTTTTAATTTTCTATTGTTGGTGCAATCAAAGAACTCTTTAGCTAAGTAGCATAAAATATGAAAGCCAAGAATAGCCATGGTTGTTCACAATGTTCTTTTGGCCTTGAATTCAAAGAGTATAACTTTGTTTCAAGATATCAAATAGTTCTATGATGATTCAGTCTTGATTATCTCATCGTCTCAGAAGAACAAATAATGATGTTCTGGAACAATATTAGTTTTTTGCCAACTATTCACATGTAAATGTTTCATCATGTTTTTAATTTAAGAAATCAAACAATGTATCAATGTTTTGACCACACCTACATGAAAAAATGAGACAGAGAATCTGCGTACTCCATAGCTGGCACAGATACATGGACAGAAATGACTCATTACTCAATGCAATAGTCGTAGTTTTGAGTCTGGACCATTTGGACCCAAGTTTCAACTGTGTCCCAATATTTTGAACAAATTCAATTATTCTTGTCATGATTAATCAGTCATGTCTGTGCATAGTTGGCAGGGATACTGCCTTAGTAAGTGCCTTAATGGTTTTTCTCTACATTTCTTGGACTCCTACCTGCCAGTCAAATCCTCCTATTACTGAGTTTTGGGTTGAGGCAGGACATTGGCCTGTGATCTCAGGCTCTGATCCTGAACCCGGGGTGAGGATGACCATCAGTCTCCTGCTCTGCTCTATGCTGTCCTCCACCAGCTCCAGACGGTCTGTGGGGTCAAACAAAATGCTTAACAAAAACTATTTTATGTTATGATATGAAAAATGTTCCTCAGGCTTTGTAGCACAACAAAATCACCCCAAAGTGCTGTAAATGACTCTTTCAGAGAAATTCACCATGATGGTTTCTTTTTTAATATTATTAACTGTTTAAAGCAAAAAAGTAGAGAAGAAGAAGAAGCAAATGCAAGGAGGGGGTGTGAGAGGGAAGAGGTGAGAGGTAAATAAGAAAATAAGAAAATAAAATTCAGACCTTCCCCAGGTATGTCATCCCTCCCGTGGATGAAGAGTCGATATCCACACTTTTCCTCGAGGACAGAGGGCAAAATCTGTGTGACAAACTGACTGAGTGTGTCCTCAGTGCCCTTGTCAGTGCTCTGCATCTGGTAGACTACGTAGGCATCGTACAACCTTGCATCTGTTCAATACAAACAAATGAATGGAAGCTGAAGTGTCCATTTTTTTTCACTCTGACTCATTGTCACCCACGCTACATTGCAGTCGCTTATGATGCTGGTCTCGTTCTTTTACTTCTGACTGAAATCCCCTCAAGTCAATCTCAAGTAACTCAATGAGAAACATTGCTAAAAATATAATCTCAGTGCGGCTGGAAAATTGCTTCTACAAATATGCGTATTAACAAAATTGCAAATCTTTCTTTGGGTATTATGGGTAACTATGGGTCACAGAGGATGAAAGAGAAGCTGATGGACAGACCCTCACAAATCTCAACAGATGGAGCCCTGCATGTTCAAATCTGACATGGTAATGTAATACTCAAAATCTGTACAAGTATAAAAGAAAACCGCCACATCTGTGCATGCTTGTTTACATGCAGAATGAAGCACATATTCCAGCCACATGACACATTAATTATAAAAACCAGTTTGAATAGCTTCCAGCTCCATTTGCTGTGAATTGAAAGAGTACTCTATCGGTGTAATGTTGCACTCTTTAAACATTGTCAAAGTCAATGTAGAAAAACCAGATATACCATCTTTTTTACTCCTGACAGTCTTCTTCTTATTCTCTTTAAATTACCCACAATGTAACTCAACTGCCAACAGCTGGGTTGGAGATTTGGGTATGTCAGCAGGTGATTAGTTTAGGCCAAAAACCAGATGTTGGGGGTAACAGTTAGTCCAGCTCAGTTCAAAGTTGAAAAAAAAACAAACACCTACAAGCATATAAAGCTGTTGTTTAAGCTGTACATAAACCCTTACCTTCTCTGTGACTGCTCAGAAGGAAGAAGCGTCTGAAGAAGAGAGCGAGGTCGATAGCAAAGCACTTTACCAGCACAGCAGCGAACACACAGAGGAACAACACACACACTGGTGCAACGATCAGTGGAGTTACTGATTCTGGAAAACAAACACAAAATTGAAGTAAGTAAAATGTATCTGTGTGTGTGTGTGTGTGTGTGTGTGTGTGTGTGTGTGTGTGTGTGTGTGTGTGTGTGTGTGTGTGTGTGTGTGTGTGTATCACTAAATGACAAGGCTGACTGTCAGTATTTTTCGTGTTGTCGACAAATTTTATTAAAACCAACAATTATTTCAGCTAACAAATATTGCATGTGTAGCCAAAGCCTGATAGATTTACAAATGAACAACAATCTACAATCATGTCACTGACCTCTCCGCTTAAGAGTTAAATTGGCAGTATTGATTTCGTAGTAGCAGTCAGCGATGCATTGAAAGTTATTTAGAAAATCCTTAGCTGACACTTTGTCGATAGTCAAGACCGCAGTGGAGATGATGTTCTTTGTTCGGTCCTCCATGATTCTAACAAAGGACACAGAGTTTGGTTCATTGAAGAAAAGGACACGAGTTATAATTAATGTTGATTTACAGAGTCCAGTGGTTCACTACAGCAGCCAACCAGGGCAAAAAAAATACACAAAATCAACATTTAAATTCAAGATATTTGGTTTTGTTTTAGATATGTGAGTAGCTCTGGAGATGGCCATCACGGTCATTCGGTTCACCACTTTGGTCTTGACTGAAATATCACCACAAATATTGGATTGCCATTAAATTTTGTCCAGACATTCAGTTTACGAGTTTTTAAATGACTTTTCCCGTTAAGCCCAAAATAGATCACCTTTTTTCAATTATTCAGTAAAATATCCTGACATCTACCCAAAGGATTGGCACTAAATTTGGTGCAGACACTTATGCTTCATAGATGATGTGTCCTACTGACTTTGGTAATCCCCTTACTTTAACCAGCCAGCCATCACATGAAAACCAAATGCCTGTATGTTGGTTTCTGTGGATGTGTTTATGTGCTGTTCCATTAACGAGACAGTTTATGTGCATGTTTGAACAGAGACGTGTGCGGTATTTTTAATCAGTTTAAAGAATGAGTGAACAGAATAGGGTTGTCACTATACTAGAATTTCACTTTCTATTAACGCTACAGATGCGCAGGACTGATAACGTTCGCTGCCTAGCTCCCACATTAACGTTGGTCGTTTTATATTGTTGCAAATGAGTATCTAATCAGATACTAATTTTTAGTATCGATTAGTATCTGATTATCGATTCTTTGACAACCCTAGAACAGAATGATAAACATGTAATAACACCATACAAACGGTAAGTTGCAAGTGAGAGTGCTGTTCTGCTTTTGATCAGTCTTACAGTTTGGTGGTTGTATTGTATCCATCCCTCTTATTGGCAGGTTGCCAGCGAGCTTGACACTCGAGGTCGAAATTAATCCCACAGTAAACTGAGCAGTTCAACTTAATCCCAAAGCCTGGTAGAAAGAACAAGACATAGTATATAAAACATTTGAATTCACAGTGTGTGTCTCCTTATTGAGAAGTTTCAGAATGATTCATTGAGACATTGCAGCAATTTCTCATTTATTCACTTTTCCCTGCTTTGTCTGAATAGAGTGGCTTTGAAGCCCACACACTAAATTAAGACACTGAGATAATTACAGTTTCAGCTCTGCTCCAGGATGGAAACTTCAGGCTACCCAAAGTAACTACAAGGCACAAAGTAATAACAAGAAACAATACCCAAAGTTTCCCGTGCTTTGAAAGTTCTGTACATCAAAACTCTGCTAGAGGTCTGAAAGAAACTTTGGGAATTTAAACTTCGGAGAGCGATATGGTGTTTTCCTCTCAAAGGAGTACCTATATATGAGCAGGGCTCTAGTCTACCTCCACTTAGCTTTGTTTACTTTTTTACATCCAGTTTTGTTTTAGTACTGAGCAGTTAGTAGAGTTTATTACGTTGATAACCTTTAAATAAACAAAAGAAAAATGTACACAGAATGCCATTATTTCAAAGTAAAAGACATCCACTCTTTAAGTTAGACATTTCCTTACTCTTATTTAATTAATGAAATATATTTATAGTATATTCTTTGAATTACACTTCATTAAAGTAAAAAATAAACCATAATCTTGACATTCTTGTTGGCAGCAGATTATATATTAATATATGTTACATTTCCAACTAAAAGTAAATGTGATGCTTCTCTTATTAATATGTAATGTTCATTTGATTGCAGTAGTGTCTTTTAGTTGAACCGTTAAACTCTTTGTCATTAGTTTGCTTCTCATCTCAGAAGTGTGTGGATGTAATACTCCGCCGGAAATTGAAAGTAAAACTTAACTTCTCATTGACTTTGTTTTGATACGCCTCCTTCTAAAGGGATTCCCCCCTCTTTCCCATATCTGAGTTTGAACTCAACACTAACAATTCACAGATCAGATACTTAGCTTGAAATCAACACTAATACAGTAATAATCAGTAACGTGTCGGCAAGGTGCAAGTGGTTATGTCATAATAGGAACATTTGTATTTGTAGTGCTGTGATAGCGCCATGGTCTTATTTTGGGAAATTTTCCCACCTTCATTAGCAAACTGCTCCTTGTTGGCCGGAGAGAGGATTTCACATTTGTAGATACTTTTTTCTGCAAGTAGAAATAAAACACAGCGATGAGTGTTCCCTTCTGTTCTCTTCAGTGTGACACTTGACAATGGTCACATTCCAGTGTTATCACCATAATCAGTATTTTTTCTACAATGATACAATACACAAACTCTTGAAATTTTTCTCTAACTCAAACTTACCCTCAGACTGGATGCACAATGGCTCTTTTAAATTCCCACTATATTAAGTAAAGGTTTACAAATACCTGAAAAAAACTCACTCACCTAAAACTTTTAGCTTCCTGGAGCCTGACGAGTTGTACATCTTGTGATTGTATGGCCAGGTACACATGCAAGTGTAGATGCCCTCGTTATTTTTGTCGGCATTTTTAACCCACAGAGTAGGCAGATGGTTGTTGCCTTGAAGAAGATTGAAGTCCTGTAGCCGAGGCAGAAGGGGCAACAAGTAGTGAAAATAAAGAAGGACTCAAATAAAGTCATATGAGAGGAATTTGAAACAACTGAGGAGCTTAGAGGGAATGTAAGAGAATTTGGAGAGTGTAAATACATTTTATTATTCAAATAACCACATTCTGTAATCCTCTAATTAGACAATAAAAACTGTGGAAAAAAAATGGAACAGAATAATCCTTTTACAGAAAATAGAACAGTATGAATGTAAATTTAAGGAATATCTGTTAAGTCCAAGAGTCCAAAACATAATAAACTAAATATATAATTGTTCAAATTAGTTCAAATAGTTCTAGCCTTTATTAAACAGTGTTAAGCAATGCTTAATTTTACATGTCCCTTAGTTTCAGAGGTTTAGTTTCAGTTTTAGACATGAATGCTTAATTTAGTTGTACCACCTCAATGGAAGTGTCTGGGAAACTACCTACTAATTTATTTGAGTTTGTAAGACGGAAGAAAGTAATGATGTAGGAAAAGATAACCACAGTTGAGTTGAGATTAAAAATAAGTATAATTTACAGAAAAAAATAAATATATATACTATATATATATATATATGTATATATGTATACAGTTGAATTCATACAACTAGAAAACTGACAAGACCCATTTGGCAATCTGGGTTACCAAATGGATAAAAATTTGGTATTAAATATTTTTTTATTGGAAAGCATATTCCCAATATTGGTTGAATGATATTTGTACTTGTACTTTATAACCATGGACAACGACAGACTAGTTATGCATTTTGACCACAAAGTAACACACTTTTTTTGTACGCTATTAATTTTTCTACATCTCATGGAGTAAGGTTGTAAATCATTGTGGTGTAGTACTGTATGATTACAGTCTGTACTGTCAGACATAACATCTACAGTAACTCAGCACCCAATTTCTAGAGAACTTCACAGGAAGTAACCATTTCATATCAGTTACTACCTCGGAAATAATTATGAAACTGTGGCGCACCTACACAAAGTTGTCTTTTCGTGAGTCTTGGTTACATACCAACAAATTACCTCACTGGGCCATTGCATCAGTTGCAGAGATATGGGCATATATAGCAATACATATACAAAAATGTTGATGATTAAAGTGGCATTATTACTGCTTTATGCTACTGTCCCATAGCACAGAATAACTATATTATATCTGGGTGTTTGATGGACTTGTTGGCGCTACAACTGTTGAGATTTCCAACTTTTAAAAACTTCTAATAAAAACAACAAAAAAAGGTTTGTACTTTCGAACCTGTAAACCATAATTGTAATAATGTAACAATGTAATAATTCACTGATATTCATACCAGGTGTCACTGTAATCACAAATGGCTGTACCTTGTACCAGGTGAAATTTCCCCCAAACTTTTCACACGTGTTCTTGACGGGATCTGGACATTCGATCTCAATATTCTGGTCAGATTTTTCCACTTCTCCATATAAATATTTCCTTTGGTCACGTGCGTTATGTACGCCAAGTCTTACATTATAGAGTCTGCACTTTCCTGATGAGGAGTCAATATGCCTAGAAGAGAAGCAATTCCAGATAGTTAATGTATACTGGCAAATACGACTGTTTCTTTAGGCTCAATATACTCCAATTTGTCTTGTGTCAAAGTCTGTTCCCCCTTCAGACAATACTTGCCCCCTGTTCAATTCCATAGTGGCCCCTCTGTGGTGGAGTTAGGGCTTTGGTTGGGTTATGGTGAGGCACAGTAGAAATAACTGGTTAGGATTAGTGATATGTTAGGGTCAGGTAAAGCGTCCAAGGAAGTTAGTCTTAGGGTTAAGGTAAGGGAAAACAAATTTGCTTGAGTCTGGTCCACATACAGTGAAACTATCAGATGCTGCTTCCACATCTGGACCAATTCTGGGGCACAAAAAGAAAATGTTGCTGGCTGTCAACCAACACTGGAGAATAACAACCAGAATCCGCCCAGTTGTGGAAGTATATGGGCCAGACTGAGGACGAGGGCGTACATGGGGCCAGAGGCTTTCACCAGAAACATTTTGCTGAGATAGGTCTCAGGGACATTATATTGGTATACATATAGGGACAGTAGATCATCTCAATGGAAAGAATACATTTTAGAGTTGCCAAAAAGACCATGACATGAATTTGAAGTTATATTTAGTGATAGAAATAAATAGAACTTTCCAAGTTTCCAAAGTTGTGAAAATGTTTTGTTGAGAAAAGTATTCTTACCGAGCAGTGTAAAGTCCAGAGTCCTCAGGTAGGAGGTTTAAGAAAAAGAGCTCTCCCCCGTGGTAATGTACTCTGTTTTTCTTGTCAGATGAGATATACTCAATTTTGGAGTCATTTTTGTACCATGTGGTCTGATGATGTGGGAGGTCGTTCTGAGACACAAACATAACATGATACGCTTCACCTTCAAGACGGTGAGGTTTGATCTGCTCAATGTCCTCACATAGGGGCTCAGCTGTCTCTGAAAATGAGCGAGAAGATGATAAATTTAGTGATGATGATGAGGAGAAAAGTGAAAAGCACAAAATTAATAATCCCTCAGGCTGGTAATGGCTGCTACTTAGATAGTTCTTGGTCATTTCACTCAGTCAAGCAGTTTCCCCATTATCCCCGCCTAAATGCCAGTACTTTCCCCACACACACACACACACCCACTCTTGCCTCCTGCTATAGGCTTTGTTCGTTGGTGAAATAGCACTAGCCATATATAAGTGTTATTTGTAAAGGAGATCAAGAGTCCTGTTATTATGCAATATAAAGCAATCTATTAAAAATAAAAAAAGCATATAGTCCAAGTCCAAGACCATTATATTCAGGCCCTGTTTCTTAACTGGTGACTTGTAGAACACTCCCTTATGCATACATTAAGCTTCAGCTTCAGCACTATTGTGTGTGGGTTGATGGGGATGCACTAATGCACTTCCTTTCCTTGTATTTTTCTTTATCATAATGTATACACTACCTGAACATTCAGATGTAGATATCGCCACAAAGAGCAGGAAGATAAGTGGGGAAGCATCCATTAGCTGAGGGAGGGAGAATAAATTAAAAGTTAGAGCATATTCTTTTGCTTCTTGTTAAATAATTAATGTGGCACCTACAGGGGTTAAAGTTGGCTAAAGTGATCCTGAATGGCGTTCCATTAACTTCTATTAATAAGTAAATCAATTAGAGTGTTTTAACAGAGAGAGACGGATGAGCAGACAAATACAGGCCAGAGAGAGGCCCCTCCCGGCAGATCATCACATAAGGTGATGGTCGGTTTAACTTCATTGTTGCAGAAGAAGCAACACCCTGCTTGTCCAGGAACGCATAAAAGCTGACGTTATAAATTCAATCTTGCCGGTGTGAACAGCCAGGCCACAGCCAGGCTAAGCTTTGTCTTCTAGCTCAGCTCCCACTTCACCGCAACGGTCCGGCACAATTCCTACATTAACTACATTACTCAGATTTCATGTCCTCGACTTCCCCTGGGATGCAAAAAAGTTCTGTTGCATGTTGTAGTTGAAGACCTCGCTGACAGGGGCCTCAGCCAGGCTTTCCCAGGCCACCTTCACTACAGGTTTAGATTTTACCAGGTCTGTCCATCAGCCTACCCCAACATCTGATCCAACAAACTACCAGCTGGCAGCTCTGCTCCTCTCTCCAAGACATACAGCTGCAGAGCAGATGATACAACCGCAAAGAATGTAATTGAACTTAGGCTGGTACCAAGTATATTTATGAACAATGCTATGCTCGAACATGATGTTTGTTATGGCCAATCCAGGACAAATATAAAAGACAGATAAGAAAAATTGTAAATTGTAAAATGGTAAAGGCAATAACACCATTTGCAACCTCTAAATTTGGGCTGCAACTATTACAGATTAATACTTAATTTAAATATTGTTTTTTTTAATCATTTAACCTGCAAAATGTCAAATAGTGACAATTTCACCAAGCCCAGTAACACTCCCTGTCAAGTGAAGAATATGTTTTAGAAGTAAAAAAAATTCTCAGTGACTAGTGACAAACTTGCAGCATCAGTTATGAAAACGTGCAGTGGAAAAAGTTATGTTGTAAACTACTATCTGCAAGAGATAGAATGATTTAATCTTAAACAGCAAGTTCCTCCCTTGATATGACTGCACATTCAGTGAAACACTGATAAAATACACTGTTGAACACAGTCCTGGTATTTACAGTAAATATAACTTCACATAAAGACATCACCAGCAGTAGTAAACCTTTTGAATAGTTACCATCCCAGTGTATGAATTCAGCATTTTTACTGCTCTCAACTAGTAAAATTGCCTTAAAAAACAAACAAACAAAAAAACAGTTGCATTCTTGGGTATTAAAATGGAAAACTTTGGTCATTAACAGGTGACAATTAATAACATACAGTGGGGTCCAAAAGTCTAATTCTTGAGAAGAATATCTGGGTCTTTAGCTACTAAATGCTCCACTATGAGGTGTTTGGTGATGGGCAGGTGGCATACAATGGGTTTATCAGCATCTTGTTTTAATAAAACTGCCTTTGGCTGCTGGAAAGAGTTTTGACGAGAGCAGAGTTTGTGGAATGGAAAATGAAAAAAGCCATCAGGCTATAAATCTCAGTAGGGCTGCAGAGCTGGATAATTCTCTGTAGGATTCGCACAACAAGCCGTTTTACAATATGCATGGTCATTTGAGTCACTGTTGATATACAAATGCTGAAAGCTTTAACCAGTTTCTAACTGGCTTGTGTAGACACTGTGAAATTAATTACTCAATAAACCCAACTACCAAATCAATCCCACTCTATTTGCCTCTCAAATGGCATAATGCAATAAACAATTTTATATAATGTTATAGTGACTATAACACAGCAAACATCTGCTTCCTGCACTATGGCTGCAAAATGGACATTATTCTGAAGTGCCCATCCAAATGAATTGGATTTAAACGTCTTACATTATTGAACTCTCATAAATTAAAAATTTGAATTACATTGAGAACAAAATTTTTGCTGTGGCCACTCAGGTCTAAGTACAGTTATGATTAATTTACAGTTATAAAGATTTTTTAAAATGCTGCAAATATGTGAATGACGGCAAAACTAACTAATGTACCCTCACTGGGCCTGATGGACATTGATACAATCGGCAAAATGTATCAATAAAGTGCTGTCTTCCTGTACATCTGTGAATTTCTTATAGTTAACTTGAACTATACTCACTAAAACTTTAAATAAACATAATAAAGTAGATAACGTTTGAAATAAACATACAACATTGTAGTACTATTGAAAACGTTTGCTTACCATGCGTTGAGAGGTATAGTGGCTTCAGTCGGGCTCGTCTGTATTCTTCTGCTCGGTGTGGTTTTTTATCCTCTCTGCTATCACCAACTTCAGCAGAATTAGATGAGTGGGCAGCATCAGCTTGACTTTAGAACAAGGAAGTTATGCGCACACACATGCGCTCACACACACACACATACACAGAGAGACATACATTCACATAATGATACATTCATGGACTGAATGCTCCCTCCCAACCTCTTTAGCAATATCCCTCTATTCACAACAGTGTGCTGCAGCACTTGTGTGGGCGTGGATGTTTCAGGGAGTGTATCTGGCAAAACTTACACTGGTCCAGACGCCTCAAGAAAGTAACGTTCTCTCATTGTCTCTGAAAAACTACAACTAGTAGACTTACCTCTGAAGGAATGCAAACATCCACTGTGCCGATGCTACAGTTCATACTAACACTATAAAGCATATCCAGTGTACAAGTGCAGTGCACTAACATGGCAATTTGTATACAGAAATTATTATACTTTACTTACAGGAAATTATGCAAGGCATTAGTGATTGAAATTACATATCTTTTGTAGACTACAAACTCCTCTCTTACAAAGACCTTTCTCCCTGTTGTCTCAGTTGGGGGTCCAGCTCTAGGAGAGCCCTGGTTGTTCCAGACTCCTTCATGTAAGAATGATGTAGGCCTTTGTGCTCTTGGGAACACAGCTACAGCTGTGTGACTCCTTCATATGGAGCAAACTGAGTATGTGACAGGTGTTTTTGAGAAGACTCTCTGAGGCGGCAGCTGTGTATAGTGAGTTTATTTAAAGTGTATCGGAAGAGGGGGCGATGATGGCCTACCTTCCTATTCATTGGGAAATATTTACCTATTATCTCAACACACTAGGTCATTCGACACAACATGACACAAGATTGCTGTGTAACAAACATGTTGACATAACTCCTGTGGCCCCAGATAGCCTAAACACATTTTCTTACACATGCATGGTCATGCACATTGCATGGATGGAAATTATGCAACTGGAGCCAGTGGTCCTTAAAAGATCAAAATCGTCTTTTGTCGTTCCCAAAGCAACAATTGAGTCAATTACCTTTACTTGGAACCTGACATTAAAAAATCGCATCAAGGCATTCAACAGTGAATGTCGAACATATGCCTTCAGTTTCCACAGCTACGCTATAATCAAATAGCGATTTCCATGTTATGTAAATAGTATGAAAATAATTTGTCGGATAAGACTGTTTCATTTGTGAAGCCTAACATGATAATCCATTACCAGATGTGTGTTTTTCTCTCATGACATGATACATGACTGGGGACTAATTATCAGTTTTGTGTGCTTTTTATTTACGTATCATATCATTGAGCCTATAAAAATATAGGCTATTTTTCACCACATTAATTTATGTTACAAATGTTTGTAATTAGTTTACAATTTTTTTTTGAGACATTGTTTGAAATAAAGTAGTAAACTAGATTATAATTTTCCTGTTGCCAAAAAGATAAATAAGGTAGTAAGTCATGATTAACTGAGACTATGACTATGATTCCCATGTCCCCTGAATATGACAAGAACGTGAGATAAAGGAATGACGATTTACTGAAGTTAAAGCAAACCTTAAATTTCCAGTACTCCAACACATGCTTCCAAAACCTTACATGTTTGGTCGGATGCATGTGGGCCTTGTGGCTAACAACAGGCATTTCCCATGAATTCAAATAGAGAAGAGTAAGAAAGAAAACCTAGTGGAGGGTCTGGAAGAAATATCCAGTTAACAATGAAACAGTGACTGGGTGACTAAATGCTTCCTAACGATGTGGTTCACTTCTGTTTAGCCAGTTCAAGTTCAGAACAATAATCCTGTTATAACCTTCTGTGTGTGTTTGTATGTGTGTGTGTGTGTGTCAGGATGTGGTCATGTAAATGCCTACCGTATTTTCCGCACTATAAGGCGCACTTAAAAGCCTTTAATTTTCTCAAAAAACGACAGTGCGCCTTATAATTCGGAGCGCCTTATATATGGATTAATTCTGGTTGTTATGGCTACCGTAGTCAGGAGCGTCGCGGAGTAATACATGTGTGTCACCATAATATTACAGTGTGTGTGTATAAAGACCCCAAAATGGCACCTGTCAAGAGACACGCTTACGACGCGGACTTCAAACTCAAGGCAGTAGAACAGACTGTTTTTTTTTACGTGTTACAACTGAACAAGGTTGGGAGTTATTGTGAACGTGTTTAATAAAGTTTGACTGACTGACTTATCTGACTGTTTTGTTTCGCTTAATGCGCCTTATAGTCCGGTGCGCTTTATATATGAAAAAAGTTCGAAAATAGACCATTCATTGACAGTGCGCCTTATAATCCAGTGCGCTTTATAATCCAGTGCGCCCTATAGTGCGGAAAATACGGTACTGTAACTGGAACGACCACAGAGGAAAGATGGAGTCACATGTGTGTAATTCACATCAAATTAAAGCCAAGTTCGAAGACAGGTGTGATCGGATCCATAAATGTACTTACGTGTACTTGAATACTCATGTAATGAGTCAGCCGTGACTGACTTCAGTAGTATCTCCTGTTGGTCAGAAGACTGTGGCCACAGGGGCAACTATCAAAAACTGGATGTTTTACCTGAGTTAGTTAGGTCTAAAGACAACACTGACTCATCCATCCATCCATCCATCCATCCATCCATCTGTTCTGGGTCACAGTGGCAGCAGAGTAAATCCCATAATAAATGGATCCCAAGCAGTTTCCCAGAGGAATCCGTAGTCCCTGCATTGTGTTCTAGGTCTGCTCTGATGTCTCTTACCAGCTGGACGTGTCCAGAAATCCTCTAAAGGGTGGCATCTCGGGGGTTGGGGCGGAACAAAACATTGTAAACATTCAGGGCTTAGCCCAAATTTAAGGGGCCGAAAATAAAACCATCACATGACAACCATCAGACTGAGGGGAAATGACACCGAGTTGAAGTTATATTATAAACTTTATAAAAGATTCAGGGGCTTTTGAGAAAACATCTGGGGCTGGAGCCCTATAAGCCACCCCCTCATTCCGCCTATGCGTGGGGGAATCGACGGCCACACCACCTCTTATGCATCAAAAGAATCAGTCGGGAATATTGATACACAATTTTGTACTTCTCTTAAAATCCTTTGATGCAATAACAACAAGAACAACAACAACAATTAATATTTTAGGGAACACTTGCAGTGATAACTTTGTATTTAACTATACATGTCCAATGTTTTTATGATAACAGTGTATCATCATCAATTTGAATTGGTCCAATTCCATGACCATCAGCCTCAGCTAGTGCTAACGTGCAAATATTAGCATGCTATAGGCTACTGATATGGCAAACATGGTAAACATTACTTGTAAATATAAGCATTTTAGCATTGTTATTGTAAGCATAGTGTGACTGTAGACTCTTAGACTTTGAATTATTGAAGGCTAAACCTTGATTTGTAAGTATTTACATTCTAACTTGCTATCCATCTGACCCAGGACATAAAAAATACTCAGATTAGGAGACTGAAATTCAGTATGCTCAGTTTTGATCCAGACTGACAGTAAATAATCATATTTTATTTTGTTTTGCATATTGTCTAGCAATGTGGTGAGTACGTGGTAGGTATGAGATAGCATTACTATGAGCACATTGATATAATGTGTCAGACGCTATGGTGATGCTTGGTGTTTTATGATGATTTGTCATAATCACCCCTAGAAACAGTTAAATATTAGGTAAGGAGAAATGAACCTGTATCTTTCGTTCAGGGCAAATACAGATTTTTATCTTCAGAGAGCTGGCAAGTTTGGGCAAAAGTGCTGTTCCTATGGCAACCCACACAAGAAGTGTGTTGCATAATGTGTACACTCATAGATTTGGCATGTTGTCAGTGCATTTTTTGTCTGCTGGCACCGCGTTTACCATTATGGAAGTCATGCATCATTTAGTCTTGATGTCACGTAGGATGTGTAAGACATTTATCACCATGTCAGAAAAATATTCTGAGCTGGAACAGGAAACCAAACCAAGCAAAACTGGAACAAAACTCAAAGTAAATATTGGTCAGAGAATGTCCATCACAATCTTCCCACAAAAATGGACTGCATACTAAAATAGACAAAGAGTGTAATTTTCCTGAGTAATAGTCAGTCAAGAGAAACAAAACCCTTTTGATGGAGCAATACTTCTCACAATCACCGCAATAGAAGTCAAATCGATTAATTCAAACTAATGTGTGGAAGAAGCAAAATCCAAGTTACTCGACTGGAGTGAGCAGGTAGGGACATGCATAAGAAGAGGGACTTATTGTTTTCAGTTATGTCCTGTTTTTGACCCCATGCTCACTGGCATCATTTAGATTTCAGTAGAGACTAATAGACAAGCCCAAGGTGAGGCAGTTCTCCCTTTGCAGCTTGTAATAAATACTTTGCAGTTTGTAAGAGGTACTTGTTATCTCCCCTGGAGCTGTATATGAGTAATTATGCTCTCTTTAATCATTTCCACATGCCTTCGTAGATTGCATCTGAACAGCTGCTGACATTGTTTCCTGGTTACAGGGACAGGTAAACACACAAATAAATAATTTAAATTCAGTTCATTCCTAATGCTACAGCATACTAACAATAGTTCAGACAGTAGTGTGCTTCCAACTTTTTGTGGAAACAATTTGTTGAAGGCCCCATGATGTTTCAACGCGACAATGATGTTCTTTTTTAGCTTTGGTTTGGAAGAACTTGACTGGTCTTCACAGATCCCTGACCTCAGCCCCACTCAGCACATTTGAAATGAACTGTAACACTGGCTGTAAATCAAGCATATAACACACAAACGAGCTTGCAGCTGTGGGGAGTAAATCTCAGCAGCCAGGTTCCAAAATCATATTGACAGCTTTCCCTAAAGAGTGGAGGCTGTTATAATAGCATATAGTTGTTTCAGTTTGGTGGCCCATTCCTGACCTGCCTTTGGGCTTTGTTTTAAATTTCCAATCAGCTGTAAGAAGGATTACGCTGATATTTCAGCCAAGGAGGAGAATGACTCAACTTTCAGTTGTATTTTGAATACAGCCAAAAGAATGATCATAAGATCCCTTGAGTCTTGACAAACTACAATGAAGGACTGTCTGAGAGGAGGAGTTGATGAGTGATATTCACTTAAAAACTGACTCACCATTATTATACAAGACATCATGAATAAAAGTCATCTGTCAAGAGCATTCGAAGGCTTACTCGCAAATGACTAATTGTGAGGAGTGAGCAGAGATTAGATGTTAAATGCATGTCAACACTTGTATGTAGGTGTATCTTGACTGTCCTGACGAACTGTTACACGTCAAACCGCAGTGATATGCATGAAGGCACATTTGTTGTACAGGTTTAAGTCTAAATCAATGCAGGTGTTTTAGATGTTATCATATTGTGAGCACACATTGCACTGTAGAGTCAACACTCTGAGAAAGAAAGACAAGCAAGAAAGTCAAATCTGAATTACCTAAATTCAATTGCAAGTATGATTGACAACTGGATGCAGGTCAAAATTAAGAAAAGTAGACAACACAAAAAATGTTACATAGGTTTGACAAATATTATTAATAAAAATACTGTTGTATTATTTGTAAAACTATATATTAGACTTATATTTAAGTAGAAAACAGGCACAGGATATCTGAGGTCCAAAGAGATGAAATGACAAAGATAAGATGCTTCTCTGAAAGACTCAACATGAAATGTTTCTTCATGATTCATAAAGATCTTTTTTTGTGCCAGTAGTTTCTAACAGGAACAGACTTGGTTATAATTTAATTCTAAACGGTTAAAAACTGAAATCCAGACTAAATATTCTGTTGGGTGGATTCATTTTTTGATGAAAACGCAGAGTATTAGAGTGTTTGAGAATAACGTGATCTGTCCTGTAACAGACTTTTGTCTTTTACATACCTGGAGACACATAAAACACAGGAATAGTTATGTAAAGAATGAAAAAAGGGGGCTTATGGATATACACTAAAGCTGTCAAGTAGCAGCACAAATAAAATATTGATTAAACTCACTGACCATTGCAGCTTTGTCCTTTATCTCACCTGAGACCATCACCAGAATATGCTCGGGGAGACTTTTGGGATACATTTGGGAATAACTTAACAGTAATTATATACTGTAACTTTATAGTCTTGTACAGGCATTTTTTTTTTGCGCTAAATACCTCAAATTTGATGCAATCTCAGGACACAATTATTTTATACAGAGTTTTTATGACAACATTTATAAAACATTTAGTTGTTTTGTTTCAGAGTAAGACACGCATTGCACTCAGCAGTAGGTGAGAGACTAAGCTTTCTGTGGCACATTACAACAAGTCACATAGAAGAGGACTAGTGGAGTAGAATGAGTCCATGCTCTGTCATGAAATCAATTATGTTGTACCCTGTGCTGCTGTACTGATAGTCTGTACAGTTTTGCCTTTGAAATAGTAAAAGTGATTGTTTTACTACATCACAAATGCTGTTGCAATCTGAATGGTGTAACAAAAACAACCTAAACACACACACACACACATATATATATATATATACTTTTTTCTTTAAATAAGAACTGCGCTAAGTAAAATACTCTCTTTTTCATAGAAAATAACACAATGTTACAATGGTGTATTTACAGTAGGGCAAGACAATGGCGATACTGTATATTTCCCCAGCATAGAGTGTGTTTTGCTGTGCTTTACGCCTGTGATTTAATGCCCTGCACACCTGCACAAATCTATTAGCCTGCATGGCTGATTAGATCTCTGATGAGGTTGCAGTGTGGTGGAGTTTTACCAAGTAAAAGAGTACTGCACAACACGCAACAATAATGTAAATCTTTGTCTCCACAAGCCAACACGTCTTACAGAATATTAAAATCACTTAAAAACATTTGTGTTTTGAATCAATAGTTTCTATTTGATAGCACAAATGTTTCCATGGATTGTGATCCAAGCTGGGCTGCACAACTAATTTGTGCAATAGTTCCAACATTATGTGAAATATGCATATTTGCTTTCTTTCAGAGAGGTTATTTTAGCTTAGCATAAAGACTGGAAGCATGGGAAATGGCAAATCTGGCCCTGTCTCAAGACAACATAACTCCCTGAATAAAACAGCAAATCATAATTTTTATGTTTCTGTCTGTGTACAGGTGATATACAGCATGCCAATTAGCTTTACAGGTGGGGGTAGACTTTTTAATTTTGGACTAGCTCCAGTCTCTAAGCTAAGCAAGGCACCTCCAGCTCAGTAATTTAACACACAGACATGAATTTGGTTTCAATCTCCTCCTCTCACGCCCTCAGAGAAAAACAATAAGTAAATTACCCCAAATGATGAACTTTTCCGCAAAATAAATGTCAGGACTCATTAATATAATGAGTGAATGTAACGCTGTTTATAGCGACGGCATGAGGTACAACACAACATAACTCTTAGAGGGTTTTTCCCCATCAGAGGTTGAACTCGACATGTTCCCAAACAGGACACGGCTTATGAGTCTACAGAGGGGAGATTCCAAGTTAGATTAGTCAGTCAACCAGTCTCATTGAAAACCTCCTTTTCTGGAAACTAGGATTAGTATGTATTTGTGTAATACGTTACTACAGTTATTACAGCTAAAGCTTATCTGATATATCACTGGCCATGGTAATCCATAATATCTTGTTCCCAGGCAATCTGTCATATTCCAGTTTTCAACAGTGTTAATAAAAAAGTTATTTTGCCTTTGGAGCAAAATAATCACAAAATACACTCCAACAGTTACAACAGAAATGTTCCTAGCACCATAAATATGCTTAACAGACAAATGTTTTTATGTTTTTGCTTACTACTCAAATCTTGTTCCAATTATCAGAGCCACGATTTGATAAAAATCCAGAACCAATAAGCAATATTGGAAGTGAAATTAAAAGCGATACAATCTAAATAATACCCAACACTAATGATCAAGTATGTATGATCATCAATCACATGAGCAAAATATTTCACCAAGTCCCTAGGACTTCTATAAGAGAACAAAACGTCACACACTTATCAGGGATGGTTTCAGAATAGAAATGAGGTTAAATCATTAATTCCAGGTTTCATGCTGGAAACCCTGAATGCAATATGTTTTCTGCTGGAATAAAAGGAGAGAGAGGAAGCTGGCTATGTGCTAAAGAACACCATCTATGTTCTTCCGCTCCATAACCACGAGGATATCTGCACTTCATTTTGTTCTGATCATTATCTAACTAATGAAAACAGAGTTAAGCTGCTCTTGAAATGTTTTCTCTCTTTCTCTGACCCATTTTGTTGCTTTCATAAGACAGAGAGGAAGAAAAGATTAAAGGAAATACTACAAAAAATACAAAGATCAAATAGTGACTGCGGCAATTACCAAACTGCAACAGCCTAAAATATGCAAAAAGAAAATATACCAGTATATAAATAGGCTAAAATTCAAAATGAGTAAATGATACTGGACCCCTTTGTTCTGGAGAGCAGGGAAAAAGTAGTTCCTGTTGTGTACCAAGAAGAAGAAATCCAGCAGATGTCTTTCCAACTCGATTGCACGCAGTGAGAAAAAGTCATTGTGCAGGCTGCCAATGGGCCAATAGCTGTTAGTTTACAGTAATTCTAGCGTCACATAATTCAGATGATAATTAATGACAGACATGTTTTCACAATGTTGTCTGAAATGTCCTTATGTAACAAACAAAACATCTGTGTTTGATCCCGTCTGTAAAAATTCAAGTTTTTCCACTTGGTTTAGACAATAGTTTGAAATTTCCCTGCAGGGATTGAGGGCATGTGGTACCTCAGATTCTTCCAGAAGTTTCTGTTTGAGCGCAATTTGGTGAGTTTGTTGGTTCCAGGAGACGATTTCTTCCACTTCAGAGCTCCTTGTTTCCTCTTGATGTAGTGAAGAGACTCTGGCAGGTGACTGTAATCCACTGGGCCATCTGGTAGGATTGAAGAGAACGTTGACCATATATATTAAAATTAAGACACTGAATGTATTGAAATTGTATTCTATTTAACCTTCACAATAAGTAGTGAAAAAAATTGAGCATGTTTTATAATAGCACCTTTCAGAGGTCGTGGCCCTTGCAGTTGCTGGTGTAATGCTCAACTTTGAGACTTTGATCATAAAGTAACAAGCCCAGAGGTTTAGACCCGCACACTTGTTGTAGATGGATGAAAAATGAAAAGGAAACATTTCTTATTTTTAAAGGAATGGTCTTGGGAAACCACTTATCTGCTTTCACACTTAGTCTTCGATGAGAAGATTACCTCTCTCTTGTTTGTGCAGTAAATATGAAGCAACTATGAGCAGTTGTTTATCTTAGCTTAGCTTAGCTTAGTTTAGCATAAAGACTAGAAACAGAAGCAGCTAACCAGACTATTTCTTGGCTCTGAGCAAATGCTAGGCAACCAGTGGAGACTAGTGGAAGTTACTGGTCCTAGCCAATAATCAGTTGAGCACATAACCCTCCATAAAGCAGTGACTTATCTTTCTTGGTACAGATTAAACAAGCAAGACACAAAGTATTAATTAGTGACCTTTAAAGGATATAGTAGGTGAATTTTGTTAACTTTGGACAGAGCCAGTTTAGTTGTTCCCCGCTGTTTCCAGTCTTTTTGCCAAAAAAAAAGAAAGACATAACTGCTTTCAGTGAGATTTGATGGATGGTGCATTGAGGTTTAAACCACTGACACTAAGCTTCTTTTATATTTAAAACTGGTGTTTGGTGTCTTAGCGTTTTTGAAACATAAAAAATACCACAGCTGTCGGGTATCAGATTGGTCAATACTGACATCCTTACACCAAAAAAGAAAAAATAGGGTAAGTAGGAAGTCTAAGGAGGCAGTGCAAAGTTTCCATCTTTCCTTATCCCTGGGTGTTAACTCTGACTCTTCTGTGGTATGTAATGCAGATTATAAATTACTTTAGAAGAAGATAAAATCTTCTTGAAACCTTATCACCTTCATTCTCCCAGGAGATTTTTCCTCATGCCTTGGAAGTTCACATTCATTTGTGGGATAATTAAGTTAAGATTAGAAGTTTCGACAGGCTCAGCCAGTTCCTAGTAACCAAGATCTGACCCGGGACAAGAATGGAGCCAGATCAAAACTATCTTCAGTCTAACTGGGTCTGGTTGGGATCACGTTCTTTGCCACAAGTCTCGGGTCCGTGTTGAATGGCTAATATCAAAGTGTATTCAAGTGGACTCAATATCAGCTCTGGTTAGGTGATGCATCAGAATCAGCACATGATGAAAGTGAGACATAGTGTAAATTGTGAAGTGCATTACATTGATTCAGATGTGTTTCCATACTTTTAACCACTGGTGCCGTCATTGTTGGTGCTCTCTCTCTGTATTGCTCTGTTCAGATTGACCATATTTGGATTATTCTCAGGTCGACACATCTCAAGCAGAGGTCCATGAAGTGGGACCTGTAAAGATCTCTGCTTGTGATGCCTTTAAAGCACTATCCGTAACTACATCTGCAGGCTAGTTTGCCACATTAAGCAGCTTTTTGGACCCAAAAGGACTTTTGGAATCCATATCTAACAATGGTAATATGTTCACTTCTAAGGTGGATGCGGGCTGCTGCTGATGCATTAAAGTGCATCTTCATAACATTACTTTACAACGTCTAATGACTTAAACACTCTCAGATTTCTCTTCTCTAACTAGGCACAGCAGAGTCTGTCCTTACCAATTTCCACCAGAATCACTCGGGGCTCGTTCTTGGTCAAAGCATCATAAATGCCGATTTTCTGTTCATAGCACAGCTGGTTTTGGTCGTCACATAAGGGTGAAGCTTCCACTTCTTTGCCATCAGCACAGGATCTTGGCGCCAGTGACAGTATGATTATCAGTCTGCGGCATTGGTGCAGTGTAGCAGCAATGGCGTCATGCACAGCTTTAAAAGATCAAACGGAAATTAAGCAAGATATGAGTGCAAGGTGAAATATCTGCAAACTGAACACCATCTTAAAGCAGAAATCATACTGAGCAATTGTAGAAACATGACAAAATACAGTAAAAGAATAAAAGCAGAAGTGACAAATTACGATTATGATTACCTACTTTTTAAATGTCTGCTAGTTGATGAAACTGATGGCTTCATGACAGGTAGTATGTGTGTAAAATAGTCACTAACAAATTTACTGTAAGTATCCATCATTTGTCGTTCTTGGTTACTGTACTTTAAGTTACAAAAGCTCTGATATATTCTCAGTAACAAATGTACGTGCAAAGCAAGGCTAATTCTGCTAAATATTGCTGCAGTTCCTATGGTAACCACTAGAGATCACAGATTACATAAGGTGCCTTGTGGGGTTTCCTTCATCTCTTATGGCACTGTGAAACAATGTGGGTATCTGTTGTTGGTATCTGTTGTTTGCAGAGAACTGCAGTGTAAATGTGTGGTGCATGGAAGCAAGCAACCAGAAGGTAAACAGGTAGAGGTAGATGAGATAAGCGATTCAGACGACAAGGGCACACACAACATGTTCTAGTGAGAAAGATTAAACATAGACATAAATGTGTTTCCACAAAAACTCCACAAGGTGCCTTTATCACACCAGGTGAGGTGTCTGCTACTGACCATCTCCAGGGCAATTGTCCCGTCCTCTGATGTACAGGGAGTAGCCATGTTTTTTCTCCAGCTCCTCAGGCAGCATCTGCAGAGCAAAGCTCGCCGTCTCAGCTGAACTCAGGGTGTCAGGATGGAAGAAGCTCACGTAGCCATCGTAGAGCTTCCCATCTGAAGCTGTAGAGAAGATAGCATTGTCTCTGTAAAGCTTCATGTAACAGCCAACTCTTAAACAGGCAGTGGAAAATTAGTTATAAAAAATACTTTAACATTACTACTTTGCACCTAAGAATATATATTATATTGCACCTATACCAATATATTTAGAAAATGTGTGGAAATATTTTCCACACATTTTCTAAATATATTTTGTATATTTAGGATTTTATGAGTTGTATCTCCTAGGTATTCCCTATTAAGGTGTAAACAGAGTGAAAATGGTAAACATTTTAATGTTTTATACGATGAAGACAAGTGATACTTTATTGTTTTCCCTGGTCATTGTGTGAACAAGAGTTTTTTTTAATTTGTAAGTTTTATCTGCCACCAAATGTGGTTTCTTTTCATGAATGGGTGATGGTGATTGTTGCTTCAGCCATCATTGCGTTTACAAGACAAGAGGTTATAATATGCCCTCTGAGCAGCGCTACATCTTCAGGGCAGATTTGAGGATACAGTGAGTTGCTATCGGAAAGTGACGAGACAGGCTGAGGCTAGCTGGTTAGCATGCTAACTTCCGTAGAAGAAAAGAAGTGATTGAGACCAGAGTTTGATGCTGAACTCTCAGTGTTTCTTCTAGACTAATAAGTAAACAGCTGTTAATGCTAACATTAGCTATGTAGCAATAGCAAAACTTACAAATAGTGTGGAACAAAATTTTGAACACCAAACATTTTGACTAACTTTCCAACTCTTATGAAATTAAACCATTTTTAGTTTTATGATTTTTTTTATTATTGTTTTATTGAAAATGGCTATAATTAAGATATAATTACGTACCAGCTGATCAGCATGTCCTGCACCACTGGTGGCCATGATGATTTTTGATCAGGCTGACTAATCGATAATACCGGACAAGACTTTTGATAAAACATAACTTGATTTGTTCAAAACCTTCAATCGTGCCTCCTACAAGGTGTTTAAGTGTTGAAGTATCTTCTGGTACATGTTGTAGATTTGTGCAATAAAGCAAACAAGTGATTTCTTGACAGTGCCCAGATTCCACACAAGTGCACGTACAGATAAAACACTGACCTTGTTTGGAAAAATGTCTCAACAGTCTCCTGTACGCCAAAACCACATCTACTTTAAAGAAGAGGAAGGCTGCAGCCAAGGCTAGAGTCGCCAAGGAGGCAACGAGGCAGAGAGCAACACTGGTGTAGAAGGCACTGTGGTCAGCTGGAGACAGGAGGAGGCAGACAGATTACAGTCATTGGTTTAACGACATATAACAAGTTTACTGGGAATTCTTTCAGGAATTATTCATCCTGTGGAAATATTTCCAGGCAACTAACTGCCTACCATATTTCCAACACAAACGCAATTACGTTGTTAAAAAACAACATTTAACCCTTAAAAACATCCTTAGAGACTCTGGTCCATATTACACAATGTCTTATTCATTCATTTTCATCAATTGATCATTAATATTAATATCTTTAATGGAACGCAAGAGTGTGCTTTTTTTCTTATTTTTTCATAGTATGCAGGTAGCAGGTAATAGCAGGTCAGATTGTTTTCCTGTTTCCTCTTATTTTGTCACTGACCCCATAAATTAAAGTGTAACAAAGTACAATATGTATCAAACATAAAATATAACTTGCTAAAAGTTATCAATAATTTCAGAAAATAATATTTTTGCCATCAATAAGGAAGTAGGAGAAAACTAATAATGTCAAAGGGGGGGTTTCAGTATTGTTAACAATATGTTCTGAAAAGGTTTTTTGTGGCTAAACATGTGAGACAGTCTTTAAGACAGATGTAAGTAGGAATGCTGATGCTGAAACCGATGTTAACCGGGTTAAACAACAAAATAAAACAATGTCAAATATAGAAATAAATGGTTACAGAGCTTTTTTGAGTAAAACAAGGCTTGGAACAGTAAGATACACAATTTAGCAAGTATGCAGACACTCTAACAAACACCCAAACATCAGGTTTCACAAACATCACATCACAAGTGATCGCTACATCTCATTCCACAATCATTGGCATTAATCTGCTGCTTTAACAGCCTTCACTTTCCTGGTTGTTGAACCTGCCTGTCAGAGGTCAGGGCTCTAGAAAAACCATTCCTTTATGCATCTGGCTTTATGTAGGGGGGCGGTGGCACTGTCATGTTGAAACAGGAGAGAGCCTTCCCTAATGTGTTGCCAGAAAGGCTGTAGAATTACAGTAAGATTCCCTTTTACTGGAAATAAGACGTAAACATTTGGTGGTTTTGATTTATGGATATTTACAAAATCCTTTGAAGCATTTTCTTGCCTGGCTTTTAAAAGGATTTGATTTGTGATGACATTTGTTTCACTGATTTTAGGAGTTAGTATTTATAATTTAACATATGTGTTTATGACATTAGTTCAAAACAGTTTGTAAATGTGTTAGATTTTGGCCATTTCTGTAGTTCCCTGGGTTGATATTGAATTTGCTTTTCCTGTAAAGAGAGGAGAGGAGTGGAGAGAATACCTTCTCGAAGCGTCATCAAGCCGGATACCGCTCCAACTGGGTTGCATACATGGCAATGAATGGGGACATTCAGGAACTGACAACGAACTTTGGAGATGGACAGAATGGACTGACCATACACCTTGCCATCAGCGTGAAAACTAAAAGGGACAGGACCAGTCAGCCCGTCAAACAGTGTATCAATCAGTCAGTTAATAAATCAGGCAACCAAGCAAGAATGTCATGAAAACCCTCTGTCATCATTGCTTTTGTTCTGCTTTGTTCAAAGCTGCATTTGCAATATTTGGCAACTAGAAGGCAAATAATCCTTTTTCCAAGAAATGTTTATGTGTTTGACTTCGAGATGGAGATGGCCGCCCACTCTGAGTCTGTGGCTGCTTGAAGTTTGCACTGTCACCAAGTGCTTGTACATGGTGGGAATTCTTGGGCCTCTGTAATCAGTATTATAAAGAGTGCAGTCTAGAACTACTATATCACATGCCTTTAGATAACATCTGTTGTGATTTGGCTCTATATAAAATAAACTGACTTGACTGAACTTGTTTTGCTTACATAACCATGTAGAGTATAGGCTGAAACAGGAAACAGAGACTCACTATGACCAGGACTCCTCGAGTCCTTCGTACTCGTCAGCAAAGATCCCGTCAACAAGCCAGTACATGGAAGTCTGACTGTCCTCGCTGTTGCCTACGTAGGCTATACACTTCAGCTCTGCTCTCATACCTGGTCATCAGTGAAATTAAAAAACAAAGCAGCTGTCACTCTACAGGATAAACATAAAAAACTGTTTGACTTCACTGTCATTTGTTATAGAATTCAGTCCAGTGAAAACGTTTGACAAGCAAATCTGGAGAAAGTCTGAAACCGAGACATGTCAAAGCCCTCATATCTCCTGAACTGTTGACTTCTGACAAAATCAGGCCCAATTAATAGATGACACACCCAATCCAACATAATTTGATGCAAAACTGGACAAGTGTTAAGGTATCCTCGGCAATGCTACAGATTAGTTATTCTTAATGGCAGCAAACGGCAACACTTAAGGCCTAAAATAGCCAGAATACCTGCATGTTGGTGTCAGTACAGACTATTTTCATGAATATTTACATAAAGCTGAAATATATTGTTGCAGTTCAACCAGGGTTCGAATCACAGGTTTATAAATATTATATTTCCCATATTCATGCCTAGATCTTGTACTACGATTTCAGACACCCTTACAGTGCACTGTACCATTTCTAGACCTTGATGTTAGCTGCACATCTTGTCTGCCTATCTCACTTGCAGAAGTGGCTCATGTCCTCTGTCTCTGCGTCTGCGCATCATGCTTTAAGTTACAGTTTAGCCAATTAATGCAAGCTAGCTGATAGTGCGACCTTTCATTTCCAATGTTGGCTTAACATTTCATTACCAATACAAAATGCCATATATTATCTAATTTTAGCAAACACTGGTGCTCAGTCATGAGCAATGAGACAATGGAGGATTAGTTGTTGTAAAGATACGTTTTGACATCAATATAGTTATTATTTCATTTTAATAGTCTTTTTATGGCTGTGGTGGTTTAGGTAGTTAGATTTTATGCCACATTATACTTACACTACACAAATATTGTACTTTCTACTCCGCTTGATTTATTTGACAGCTTTTACACCCTTTTTTGTTAGATTTCCACTTTGACATCTAAAAAGCTTGTTCAAATACAGACTGGGACGCTTACTTTGTCAGCCTGAGAAAGGCTGAAAGTAGGTAGTCCCAGGACTCTTTCCAAGCATGTGGTTTGAATATACCAGTGATGAAGCCAAGGGAGAATTGCTCCATCCTGCAACCTGCCCTAATTCCGCAGGCACCTTTTACGTCATTGTTAGAAGTGTTGTTGTACGCAGTCACACAAAACTCACTAACCCTATTAGCCTTCTTTTAGTTTTAGCCTTCTCACAGTTTCTAAGAGCTAAATAGAGAACAAGACATGAGTAATACCGCAGTCACATTTGGAGAAGATGACATATTGTGAAGTCATACCCAACAGATGTAGACTACGTGTGTCACTATAAGGTGTTGATTATAATTTGTGAGAAACTGTTACTTGCCCACTTCGACCACAATCACTTCCTCTTGAGGGTACGCCATCATAGGGGGTTTGATAAACTCATCTTTAAGGATTACAGACAAATAATCAATGTAACAGAAAATAACACAGCACAATATAATACACTCTACGAAAAGTGAAGCAATAAGAAAAAGACAAATAATCTAAGATGAACTTTGTGGGAAAGTTACTTTAGCTTTGAGAATAGAATGACTGATGAGTAAATAAGAATAGCCTTCAGAAACCATAGTTTCCCTGTTGCTGTGGCTGTCTGCAACGTCTTAAAATGATGAAGAGAGCTTTTACAGTCGATGAAAGTGTCATTTGCACAATAGTAAAAGTGGTCTCTTGATGTAAGAAAAGAAGTGTTAAGACGATAGAATAATAAATAGTTATCCATCTGGATGCAATCAAAGTCACTAAAGTGATGACACTAATGACTGACAGTACATACCGTTGTTAATAGTCAGCTGGATGCTGCGTGCAGCAGTGTACTTCCTGCCATCTAAGCTAATGTCTACCAGGCATGTGTATATCCCAGCATCCTTCTCTGAGACTGGAGGCAGCCTCATGTTGCCAATGTCATCCACCAAGATGGGCTCCACTGCGTGGCAGTCCTACACACAGAAACACAGACTGTAATTATTCTTTACAGTGTACAAGCGAGTGCAAACTTTATTTTGTAGAGCACTTTTCAAAAAATTAAGTTACAAAGTGCCTCTTACAAGACAAGAAATAAAAAGCCAACAAAAATAAAGCACATGATCTTAAATTGAACAAAAGTCAGTAACATAAAATACATTTTTAGGAATTTAGACAATCCAAGTAGTCTATTTAGGGATTTGTAAATAACTGTAATTCCTTCCATAAGTGGATGTTTGTGTATGAACAAATAATGAATGACAATATACTCAAACACAGTTGTAATAATATAGGAGACATTACAACTGTTAACAAATACTGTATATTGATAAACAATAAAAAAGGCCTTAAATCATTTATAACTTAATTACTTAGTCTTCTTTTTTATGTGTATGTGTGTTGTCTGTCTTTATCTCTTTGTTAACCTTTTTTTGTTATTGTTTTATTGTTTCTATTTGCTTTTGTATAAGATTGTGCTCTACAAATTAATTTGAACTTGAACTGCAAGTGATGAAAACATGCATGCAGAGAAACTTTCCTGAAGAATGTGAATAATTAACAGTCAGGTTTTCTGATGCTGTGGCACAGTACTCTGTGCTGCTTGATGAAAGATTGGCTGTCAGTTGGAGTATTTGTAATGTGCTGTATGGGCCCCCTCCACATCCAGATGTGTATCTACAGCAGCATTTTTATAGCAACCAATAACAACCATAAACAGCAGATGGGGGCAGATGGTTTGTTCAATTTTCACTTACTGTAGATCTCAGTTCCTGATGTGTACAGTAGGGGGCAGTGTTGCATTAATCAAGCCAGAATACGTATACAGGACATTGTGTAGAAATCAAATGTTTTGTCAACCAGAAAAAAGCAATATATTTACACCCCCGAAAAGGAATTACATAAATTACTCAGGACCTACTCTGTTCTTGCCATCTCTGTGCTTTTACACTAATCTTGGAAAGGTCCCATATTTTATACTTTTCCTGTGTTTTATTTGAACTGTTGATATCCATAAGAACATATATTTGTGGTTTTAAGTAAAAACCATCTCAGTGTACTTTTACATCTCCTCTCTCAGGCTTCTCTCTCGAGCGAGAGACTCTGAGCCTCTCTTCTGATTGGCTGACTGTTTTCGAAGTGATTGAATAAAAATATAGCCGGTAAACACTCAGAGAAACTAAATCCTGCGTGGTTGGATGGTGGGTCCAGGTGGGCTGGACATGGGGCATGGCTGAGAGGGTGACTGCTTTGTTGTTACATCACAAAGTCACATGGACATCCCCTTTTATACAATATGGGACCTTTAAAGGTGCAAGCTTGTCTGAATGAATAACACACTTTCTTTGTACTCAAAACAAACTGAACCAGGAGCTACATCAGGCAGACATGCAGTAGAAGAAGACATACAGTATAGGGCACAGGGATGCATCATTAAAAAACAGCACATGAATGTCATGGGGTTGTTTATACCTTCATCCATCGTATGGTCCTTGTGTTATTCAATCTGAAGATCTCTGTCTGTTTGCAGGGAAGACTTCCTCTGACTTCCTGGGTGATGGATATGGTCTCAGGTGTATCAGGACACTCTCCAGTGGACACCGACACCCCAAATGTTATCTTTGACAATCCAGTCTCGTCCCTAAAGAGAGGGAGATAAACAGTGACAAAGCTGCAGAAAGGCCAAACTCAAGCTCTTTGGAACAACAGGGTTATCAATACTATGAACTAATCTCTATCTCTCCCTATTGTCAAGGGTAAAGAAAAGGAGCTATTATTATTATTATTATTATTATCATAAACCTGTTGCAATTTATTACTCACTCCCACAACCTGTGATATAAACTTAAATGTAATTCCAGACTCATCTGTAAGGAGTTTAAAGTTTAATGCCTTGTTGCTCCAAATGTGAAGGAGACCCACCACAAGAAACAAATGCCCCTCTTATAGTTTATTTCTATTAAAGGTGGAAATGGGAGCTGGGCCTGTATCACATTTCTACTTTTTTGTTTTAAACACTACATTTTTACATCAGTTCCATAGCTTCATGTCCAACTTCCCCTCTAAACAGATGTCTAAAAGTGAAGTCAATTAATCAATTACAGATGTTAAAATACTTAACAAAGGTGCTTTGAGTTTTTCATACAGTCAGGATCAGATGCAGTTAAACCTACAAAGTTATAGAGGAGTTTCTATACCTTTTCTCACAGGTGTAGGTTCCATTATGGGAAGTCTGTACAGGTAGAAACCACAGTGACCCATTCCTGACTTCCACACCACTGGGCAGGCTTAAGTTGTGCATCCCTGCTCTGCTCCAGGTCACATTGGTGTGAGCATCAGCAGTGAGACATCTCAGCAAAAATAGGTAGCCAGCACTCACATGGTAGGTGTCTGTCTCCCCGCTGTGGTCTGGATGTGATAGTGCAAAGAGAGACCAGTCATTTCTCATTCAATGCTAGGGGTAAAAACTTGAACATATAAGACACCAGTATATATACACGACATGAGCAGAATTTCTGGAGTAAACGCAAGCCTTCAGATTTTTAAGTGTTCTCTGACACAAACTAGCACTTTGCATACAGTAAAAGAAGGTATCACAATCCTTAATGTAAGTTTAATCCAACCTCTGCCGGAGGTTATGCATTCAGTACTGTGTGTTTGTTTATTGTTTATTTGTTTGGCAATTAGCAGAATATCTCCAAAACTATCTAACAGATTTTTGTTTAAGTGGTTGGGAAGTTCAGTGTTGGGTCAATGAAGAACTGATAGCTTTCTTGTGTAGACAGCACCACAGTGAGGCCAATTTTATATATATATATATATTTACATATATAAAAATAACTTAATGTTTTGTCCCAAGAGTTTTTAAACAAAACATTTTCTGACATTTACTGATATCAGAGTAACAGAAGATTGTATGGCACATGGAGGTGTGCTCTCTGACCGCATTGATATGAGGCTGTTTGCATGTTTATGTATATTTTACACTAATAATAACTTTTCTGCCGACAAGTGAGCAGCTTGAGAGAGAGGCGACAATGCTTATTCACTTTTTTTTCTTCATTAATAGAAGATAGATGTAGCAATAGAGTTTATACTCGGCCTTAGAGAGGATCATCTGTTTATTCAGAAAGTTTGAAATTAATCATCATGTACAGAACAAGACAGAGGACGTTTGTGATGTTAAAAAAAAACCGCTACATGGACAAAAGCACGAGGCCTTGTAGCCAAGGCAGGAAATTAAGGGTTTGCTGCCAAAATGTCAAAATGACATCCCTGCCCACACACAGAAAAGTTGTGACGTCAAATGACTGTTCGGTGACACGCTTATAGAGCAGTTTTAATCCACACTTTCAGTTGTAAAACTTCGAACACCACACTAACCCTGGAAACAACCATTCAGATGAAAGTGACAATTAGTTGATGGCCTATGCTGACAACCTAGTTATTTGAATAACAATACGTGATTTATATAAAAAAAAAAAGTAATAAAGAAAAGAAGAACATTGCCAATAATAAAAAAAATGTAAAGTCCGTTATACTGTTTTCTTAAGAGGTACTGTGGCCTTTTGATTCTTTATGAGCTCTACACCCTCATTTACTCATTTCTGGACACACTTGAAATGCCGCATTCATGTACAGTTGGAAGAGTGGGAAGAACGACCATGTTCTTGTTACTACTACTAGAGCGGTGAAGTCGCAGCTTTACAGAACCATTAAAAAAAGGATAAAGGGAAATCTAGCCTAAATTAGCTTTAATACTTGATTTTTTGAAATGGTTAGTTAAAGTCAGATGTACTGTATGATATGGCCAATTGCCTTTATCTAAATCGGTTGTATTATTGTTATTAGGCATTTCTGTTGTTTTTCACCGGGCTGGAGTCATCAGTTTTACGTTTAGTAGGCAAACGGATATTCCCGCTAGGGTGATCGTATTTAGGATCTCACGTGAACGCAGCATTAGACAGATTGCAAATGGCGGGCAACTTCAACCGACGATATGACAGTAAGAACCGGAGCCAAACTCAAGTTGGTGGAAAGAAACCAAGTTACAACCCTGACGAAATAGAAGCAAATGAAGAAATATAAAATACAAGTTGTAAAAGGAAGTAAAATCGCGCAGTGGCTACAGTGCTGGAGCTGATGTCGATGCTAGCTAGCTAGCTAGCTGCTAGCTTAGATGGTGCTCCCCCTGTGAAGACTCGTTTTCGAAGGAAGGAATGTCTACTCCAAAGAATACCAAGTTGAGCCCTGGGGTTTAATGTGGCGGCTCTTCACAGAAGAAGAACCAACACAAGGTAAGACCGCTGACTCTTTTGCCACCTGCCAATGTTAATTGCTGACTTGTTAGCTTGTTTGATTAGTGTGTTGGGGGTTACACGCGGGGCTGCGAAGTTTTGCGTCCCTTGCAGGCAGGTGAAGTTACACAAATACTCCTGACTCTACAAAGTTTTATACCGAAAGAAAAATATGTAAAAGAAATATAGAAGTGATTTGTATTGTGATATATAATAGATTGTGTTTTTGACCGTCCTTTCCTTTGATTTGATTTATGATTTGCGCATGTTATTTGGTTGCCTTGACAGTTAGCAGTACCCTCTCTAATTTTTATTTTGTCTTATTTTTATGTTTTCATTTTCATCAGTTGTCAGTGGTTAGCGTCGTAATATTTGTTCACTACATGAAGTTTTGGATTGATGAAAAAGACTTGTAGGGGACAGTTGGTGTATTTCAGGTTTTTGGAAGTCAATAGATGTCCAGTATGGTAGTTGATTGACTGCTGTGCACCTTTTAATGTTCTCCATCATATGATTGTATATACTGAGTAAATCCTGTATTTACGCATGCAGGTGCTTATGAATGAAGCCTCACCTATAAATGCTGCACATGTACAATGCTGCCATTTGCACTTGACATCTGATATTTAGGTCGGTATTGAAAGTTGCTCTCCATTGTATGTTTATCTGTGGTGTTTTACAGCTCTAAACATTGGACAATCTGGAGTTTGTGTTTCTCTTTGACCTATATACCTGTCGCAAAATGAATGATTGAATTATTCCTATGTCTTGCATCCATCCACTCATTATCTATACATGTGGCCAGGGGTGCTGGAGCCTATCCCAGCTTACATTGGGCGAGAGGTGGGGTACACTCTGGACAGGTCGCCAGTCTATCACAGGGCTGATGCACAAAGACAGACAACCATTCAGGCTTATTTACACCTAGGGGCAGTTTACAATCTCCAGTTAACCTGCATGTGTTTGGGTTGTGGGAAAATTCAGTCAGTTGACTAATTGATGAACTGATTGTTTCATCTCCACTAGGGCTGGGACGATTATCCGACGTAATCGACGTTTTCGATTATAAAAATTATTCGACGTGGAATTTTAGTGTCGACGCGTCGTGTAAAACCACACAGGGTAAATGTTCATAGAACAAAACCGGAACTTTCTAATGGGACCGTTTATATCCATCGTCTTTGGTTTACCCGGATACAAGCGCAGCGCAAAGGCTGGGACAACGCGGTGACGTAATTGAAGGCATTGACTACGTGATTGATTTGCGTCTGTGTAATCTATTTGAACAACATGGCGTCGTCTACCAGCAGTACGACGGAGCGTGTGGAGCAACACGCGGCAAAAAAGGCTCGCACAAGGTCCTCCAAAGTTTGGGAATACTTTAATCTTGTAACCAATAGTGCGGTAGTCTGCACACTGCAAAGTGCATCTTCATTTGTGTGTGTGTGTGTGTGTGTGTGTGTTGGACGGGGCAAATTGTTATATTAAATGACTAACTGGAAAATAATTGCAATAAAATTACTGTTAGGTTAATAAAAAAATAATTGTTAGATTAATCTTTAAAGAATAATCGTTTGGGACAGCCCTAAACTCCACATAAAAATGTACTATAAGGGGTTGTAAATTATATCATAAAGTAACATGTTCTGTGTAGCAGAGTTTGCAGTACAGTTTACAGTATTTTTCACATAGGCTGTCATGATATTATAGGTGCTGTGTGATTTGTCTAGTACAGTGTATTTTGCTGGATTGTCAGCTACTGTGAGTCCTGTCTGGAGGTTCTTCCAACAGTGAGGAAGAGCTTTGTTTGCCAATTACTTCCACAGATTTACTGTAAATCCATTATACTGTTGGTGCAGTTAATTGTTGTCAGTGGATGTAGCACACTAACCAGAAATTACGTTGCTGCCTGAGATAAAACGCATTGTGTTATCAGCTTATTGCACCAGTTTAATGCTGTCAGTAAGATTTACAAATTGAATATTGCTCGCCAGGTACTTCAGCACAACCTAGTTAAGAGAAATTTTAGTTGGCTTTAGTTTTCCTCAAAACCTTGAACCTTGCTGGAAATATCTCCCTCCTCTTCTGTATTTTTTTGACGAAAATTGAGATTTTAAAGAACTATACATTTTTTGCTCAACTGATAGCAGGTGAACAACCCATTACTTTTCTTCTATGTCAGTGTTGACATTTTCTGTCTGTAATGCAAATTCTGGGCTTTTTTAATTTGATGACAGCAAAGCTTGCCAATGCAGTGTTTTTCTTGAGTTGACTCATCACTGATGTCAGAAAATCACTGTATGCTTCAGCAGGAAAGTTTTGAAAATGTTACTTACTTTGTCCTTCTACATGTTATGTGAAGAAAATTAAGTAGAAAAAATGTCTTTTAGTGCACACTGACAGAAAACTTGACCAAGCTGTATTAAGCTAATGTAATTGTTTTTTAAAAAAAATATATTTTGTAGATTTTTTTTTATAACTTCTGTCCCCTATTCAAAGCTGATGTATATTGTGTAACTTAACACTTAGTCATTCATTTCCTTTAACACACTGCTGACATCGTTCAGGTAAGGGACTTCCTGGAGACTCAACCATAAAAGTCTCATAGTAAATGTTTGCCGTCTTTGACCTATTTTAATCAACAATAGTCAGGTTGAAAAACCCACTCTCTGAACACATGTAAATTATTTTATGTCATGAGGCAGATGTCATGCATGTGGTCTGCTGTTTGCTGCTCACCAAGCAAGATGTATTTTGCACTGTGACTGAGTAACTTTGTATCTTTTCAGAGTGTCCTGTCATCATTGTTACTTCACTGATAGCCGATATCAGTGGTGAGAAGGACCCAACCTTTGTCTCAGCTCTCTGTCTTACAGTACCTAGTTTAGCTGGCACTTTGTCAGAGATGTGCTGCTGTGGATGAGTGTGAGAAACGGGAGGTGTAACTGACATATCGCCTTGGAGAACCTATCTGAGATGATGATGATAAAGTCACAACACAACATAATTAACAGTAAAGGATATAAGTTATACTGTAGATATTTTTTTATATGTTATTATAATTTGAGCATATCTTCAACATTAACTTTCCTCTGTGCATAAACCAGATCTTTAATCATTGAGGCGAAGAGAGTGTGTTTATGTCAAATCACAGTTGAGTTATGAAAAGCAGAATGCAAAAGTATAAAGCAGACCGAGCTGGTGCTGGAGGAATTTTTTTCAAAGGTACCAACATACAGGAAATACACAACACAAAGCAGATTTTAGGGTATTTTAGTCTGTCTGAATGTGTTTATACAGTTCATAAGTATATTTTTTCTACCTGAACAATAAATGACCAAATGATGAAAATCAAATTCCAAAAACTGCATTAACCATGATAGTAACCAAGATACTATGCATTAGTATGCATAGTATCTTGCATTAGTATGCATAGTATCTTGGTTACTACATGCAGCAAGGTAATTAGATTTCTCCCTGGCTCCCGACTTTACTTTGGGAGCATAGCTTGCTTATTTTGACTGCATTAGTGATAGACGATGCTGTCTTGGCCCTGAGGTCCTGACTTTTTTCTCTGTTTTTTGCTGTGTTCTCTGTGTGTGTTTGTGCGGGAGCAGCCTGACAGCACAGTGAGAGGACAGCCAGACAGACTACAGTTTTCCCTCGCAGTGCCAGTGTGTCTGGATTTAACAAATGGTCAAATGTTCAGTGTGGAGAATGATTTATTTAGACTTCTACAGGATACTTTGTGTTAGTTTCAGTGTCAGTTGGTCTCTTTATAAAGATCTCTCCTTTCACCCAGTCGCTCAGAAATCAGCCATCTGGAAAAAGTCGACTATAACCTTGTTAATTAAGTATATGTAAACGCACTGAAGGATTGAGTAGAACAGGAGAAGAGATGTTACAACCTACTCGGTTTTCACCTTGACGATAACCTGTACTTTTTTATAAAATGACAGTATCACAATACAAGATCCAGGACATTTGTATTGTGACTTTTGTCTTGATTTCAGAATAGTTAGACCCATAGTGGTGCTACATACAACTGAGAAAGTTTAAATTGTTAGTCATGTCACAAACTGCTTATCTTATTGTCTTTTATAGGAAACGTGTTATGAAAGCAGGCAGTATTTGCTGGGTGTCTCACTTGTGAAGGAAACTCCGGACAGCTCAAGCAGGTTTCTCAAGTGCTTGTAAAACAAGTTATAAACAGGAAATGCTATACAAATGTTGCAACATAGGCGACGTGTGCTTACTTTCAGTTTATTATTTAATAATTGCTGCATAAATATGGCCCCGTCTTAGGAGCTTTATGTCTGAAATCTACAAAACAGTTCATGGTTTTCAACTTCACCTTTTTTTTTAAGTCTGTCTGGGACAATATTGAAACTGAAAATGCTCTAAACTAAGAGTCAGCCAATAATTTAAATAAACAACTGGACAACATTTTGGTGTTATAAAGTTCTTGTAAAGCAACCAGAGTCAGGTTTTTGGAAATTATTTCCAACAGCAGAAGCTTTTCTTAGTCTTTAAAATCCTCAGAAGAATTGTGGTGATCAATACTCACCGTGCGCCACAGAAAATCTCAGATACAACAGTGCAGTCAACAAATAGACCCATCCTGTCACTGCCATGGTTCTCATCTGTGGGATTTAACAGGTTACATTTCATTAAAGCCCTGTATGGTTTCTCAGTCATGGCTCATGTTCTCTCGCTGCACCGACTCTCGGCAATAAATAAGGCTTCTTGACACATTTCCTGACAGGTCTCTGGCTCGAACAGACTCCAGAGTATGGGGAAGTGGGAGAAACCCAGTTGACACATAGAAGGCAGGGCTGAAACACTCCGTGAAGTCCTAGGAAGTTCCATCGATTGGGTGCTTATTTGGAAAAGGTCAGACATTTAAAGAAGCTGTCTCTGTATCCAGCTCTCTTATCTGTCTTATCTCTTTGGACCTATCTTAATCTTTATCTACCACTATCTCTCTCACTATCTTAATAACTGATTCAACTCACTTTGTCACTGATTACAGTACTTTTGATCTAAATTGGCAGTATAGATACTGCAGTTGGGACCCTGTTTTACTCATATATTTATGTTGTATCCTGTAGAAAATTAATATGACCTGGAGTAATTATAATATATACAGTGCTTTTTTTTTTTTTTTAACAAAAGGATTGCATTGACAGTAATATCCTTAAGCAGATATAAGCGAACATGCACACACAGTAATGGGTTTTTCGGTGCTAGTGGATAGCAAATTAAATATTTGAAAGTGTACAACTTATTTAATGGTTAACAAGTAATATTTTAAAATTTCACAGGATGTTAAAAGATCTTTTGTTATTATTAGAAGTCGTCGTGTCCCCCCCCCCCCCCAAAGAATGTCACAATTCACACATACAGTGAATTTTATAAATATAAACAACACGCACATTAATTGAAAATTAAAAATTACAATGATGTCCATATTGAAAAGTGCATGTTGTCTATAAACTGTCTGGGTTACAAAAGCATTAATGTATATGATTCACAAGTCCTTATAGACAAAAGGACTAACAAAACAATGGCTAAATTTGTAATGAATAAGCTTTAGATGTACATGTCACTATATCAGCTGTGATTAATGCTAATAAGGGTTTACTGCCTCAGTTACTCACCTGTCAAAGTGATCTTTCTCCTAATATGCACTTTAAACCCGGTAACCAAACATTTTTTTGGATTCATTTGTAATTGCTGAGAAACGATTGTGTGCTAAAATAATATTGGACAGGATACTATGAAAGTTTTGTTTGCCTTTATATATTTTTAAGGATAATGCCCACAGATATCCTTAACTATGCCTTACTGTAAAGTGGTACCCCACAAAGCACCTTGAAGCCACTGAGAATCTCTTATCACAGAGACATCTCAATCCCTCTATAATGAAACTGCTGAACTATAAAAAAATATCTTGGAGGTTTTATCAAATGAATTTTGAGACCTAACGGGTTTGTAAATCTAGTATGAGGTACCAAAGAGCACAAAAATAAAATCAGGATATTATATGACATTATAAGAGATGAACAGTAGGAACATTTCTATAAAAACAACCGAGTCAATATGAAACCAATACTAAATGTCACTGACACCGTGATTACGAAAATTATACTCTACATGTCATGTACTGTACTACAGATTACTCAAAAACCGTTATTTAAACTCACCAAGATTATCACACAGTACACAGTAAAATTCCTTAAAGGGCTAATATAGGAGAGATCAGACTCCAGCTTTAATGTTGATGATAACTTACCAGGCTGAGTTGTGGGACTTGAAGACAGCTCACTGTTACCTGCACTAAAATCTCAAGAGCTGCAGGGTTTTCCTTCTTCCAGTCATTTGATACTGTTCCACGAACCACTGCACAGAATTTCCACTGAACAGAAAAGTTTTGCAGTATAAATGCACCACAACTATCCACCCCCAGCACAAAAGAGCTTTGAGTCAAATATAGGTCAACACACTTCATTTGCTTCAGATCTGAAAGTGGCAGCTGTACATTGTCCCAATTTAAATACTGCCCATTTTCCACATTAAGAAGAAACTACAAAAAAAACCCCACAACATTTTGCATTCTGTGACTTTTAAGATACTTCTTCTTTAAGATGCCCTCCTTCCTGAAAACAGACAATATTTTTGGAGGATCTCGCATGTGAATTGATGGCAATAAAACCTCTAACTATTAAAGCCATTGCGGATTTTTAACTGTCTCCCTGTCTAACCAAACTCTCTCTGATTCTGAAATTACATTTGAATACTACAAGGGCTGCACAATTAATTGAAACTGCAATATGGCTCAGTGCAAATCACATGAGCTGCAATTTTTTTGGATAAAGGTAAAATGTGTCAAATATTTTGCATTGTTAGCACCAAATTGTTGTGTTGCTGCAGAGATGCTTCGGCCTACAAATCATATACTCCAAATGTAAAGGAATATGTATGTTTGGTACAAGACCCAACAAATTTTCAGCAAAAATGATCATTCCAACTGAAATCGTGATTCATATAGCAATCACAATATCTGCCAAAATAATCGTAATGTGATCTATTTTTTTTTATTTATTTTTTTGCAAATTGTTCAGCCCTAGGTACTATTCAAAAACTAATGCTAAAACTGATGAGACAGCTGCGAAACTATAACCTTTTAACACAAGACATGACTTCACTAAACCAATCCTTTTCATATCCACCCACATTTGCTTGTTGTTCGCTTTGTGGGTTAAATTCTGTAAGATTTTATGTGAAATACTTTGCAGCAGCTGGCTATCACACCTCAGATTGAACATTGTGTTGTTATGTGTCAAGGCGCCACCAGGAACAGCTCTCATTAAAGTCCCTCTTATCAACAATTGTGTAACCAAACTTGAGTAAGGTGTAAAAAGAAAAAAAATCTATCTAAAATTTAAAGCCTTCCACTCACTGTTTCCTTTGCAGACTTAAAACTGTTCAGCATTAAATGAAAATAATGTCAGTTTTGGTATTTTCACTAAACATGAGAATGAAATGCAAAAATTACCATTGTGACTGAAATTGTGACTCATCGCAATATCTGCTAAAATAATCGCAATGTAATTTTTTATTTTTATTTTTTATTTTTTTGCATATCCTTCAGTCCTTCCTTTGTTTTGCCTTGTTGCATTATAAATAACTTTTGATTTAAAAAAAAAAAAAAAAAGATTTTTATAAACATTCCTCTCCGTTGGATGTTGTTCCTTACAGTTCCTTGTCTGTAGTTCAGTAACAGTAAATAAATGGCAATACATTCAATATAACTCAGTTTGCTTCTTAACTTATTATGATACGGAACTTTATTTATTTTTCCATATTTACACTTTTAATTTTACATATTTACATTTTACACTTTCTTCTTCAGTCTCCATCTGCCAGGGAAAGTCAACAGTTCACATAGTGGTGCAGGCAAACTGAAGACAGCCCAGACACTGTGATTATCAGCACACAGCTGTGAGCTGCTGTCTTTGAGTTTTTGAGCAGAACATCTTCCACCTTTTCTTGATCAGTCACTCTGCCTTCAGCACATGCCTTACATGGTGCAATTATGGACTTTGACTCAGACCGTGGACCTCACAGCTTCTGGTTACAACACAGTATTTCTGAATTATCTGTGTGTGAGGGGTATTCACTGCTATACACGTGCATTGGAACCCAGCTACTCTCTGGTTCAACAGTTGACACATCATAACCCCTTCATGTTCAACAGGGCAGTTTTCTCGGGGTAGACCGCCCTCTTGCCCCTCACCGGCATATAATACCTCATCTCCTTCCAAAACTTTGAAGAAGGAGAGAGGGATGGTGAAAACTGTGTGTCCTGTTCTCCTGTCTCCTCGTCCTCTCTCCTCCTCATACATGTCCTCCGCCTTTGCCTCGTCCTCAGGTTCTTCCACCAACACACGGCTCCCTGCTTCTTCCTCAGGTGACGCACTGACTCTGGGAAGAGAGCCAGCTGAGCCGGGGTAATCTCTTCCAACTCGACCAGCACCACCTGTAAAGCAGTGGTCAAATTAGAACCTGGATGCCTTTTTGAGCATTCGGCCATGAACTCAAATCAACTGAAATTTGAACTAAATCAATTAAACCATCACTGAATCATCCTGAATGGAAATTAACTATGGGCACTGAAGTTAATCCATAAACCTGCAATAATTTTTAATCCAATTTTTGTGGCAACTTTGAGGCAGAAGAACTCTGTCAAGCTGACAGATACACAGCTGTGACATGTTATCTCTGGCTAAAGTTGTTAGCTCTTTGCACACCGTTCATATTAGAGATGTCCTGAGCTCAGGTGCTAGCAGATCTGTTATCTTCCATCCTTCTTTCTAATTAGCAGAGCAATGTTTTTTGTTTTTGTAGTTCCCACAACTCCAACAAAATGATCCTTCCTCCCTCTAGCTGATCACATTAGTTTCAGGTGTGACACTCTCCCGGTTAATCTTTCATTCATATTATAAACATAATGTTTTTGAACCGGGACCTTATTTGGATCAAGTAGCTCATGAAAAATAAGCTGTCAGATTTACTAGGCTACAGCAAGTTATTTCAATGTGTCAGGTACATATTTAATCAGCATTTAGGTAAATATAAGTATCAGATTGGTCTTGGTGTCGACAGATACCCAATATTGAAAGGACACTGATCAGGATCTGGACCAAAAAAAACTTGGATCAGGACATCCCTAGTTCCTATTTGCATGCCCAGCAGACACAGCCCTGGGTAAATAAATCCTGTAAATCAAGTGTGACTGGACTGTATGCAGCCTACGATTACAGTTAGACTAGAGCCAGTAATTCGTAGAGGTAAAATTTAAATCTGATGTCAAGAATATGCATTAACATGTCTTTTTACTCACTTTGAGCGATCCCTCCAGCAGCACCCTGTGCATTGCTGCCACACACTCCAACTGCTGCCTTGTGTCTGGATAGACTTCATCGCTACCATCAAGACTTGTGCTGCTACTGCTGTCACCAGTCTTGCTTTCGCTGTTATCCTTGCTATTAATGTTCTTGGAGAAGTTGTTGTTATTATTGCTACTAGTGCTGCTTGTGTGTCTTTTGCTGGTGAAAGTTGAGGCGGTGTAGAGCAGAAGGAGGCGGCGACTGGCTTGTATGTTCTCTTCCACTGAGTCCACTATGGCTGCAGGGAGGAAACGAGGATCAAGAGACACGGTGGAGTTAGAGATGATGTTGATAAGTGATGAGCCCTAGTAGTGTGCTAAGTCTAATAATGTAATTTAAACCAGTGGCTCCTAACTGTGGGTCTGGGTGCTGAATATGAAGCAAATAATACTACAATGCGGTCTCTGCCATGTTGGTGACTTACCTTGTCCTGGCTGGCAGTCACGGCCTGCTATGAAAAGTTTGTAGTCACAGGCCTTTTCCAACACTTGAGGCAGAGTGTGAAGTGCAAACGTCTCCACTTTCTCTGTGAATCCGATGGCACCGGGCGGTGGGTATGCCACGTAGGCATCATAGAGCTTCCCATCCAAATCTGACACAAGAAAAAAAGAAAAAGAGCTTATTAAGGGTATGTGGATGTGGACAGGTCTCTAGTGATTTTCGTGGGGTCATGTACCAAAAAAGCATGTTCCTTTATGTCTGGAGAATATAACTTGCAGGCTCGGGCATCTCTGTAGTGCCACAATGCTTCATTTATGGTATGTTGTATTTTTGATAATATATCGATTAATTGTTCACCTCTAGTCATTCTAGAGAAGTCTGAAGTTACTTAAGACAAGTTGAGTCTCAAGTCTTCACACACTGCTTTATTCTTGTAAGCACATTGCAAGTACAGATTAAAGCTTGGGAGTAATGATTTTAATTATTGTTGGGTTTTTTTTATATCGTACAAAATGCAACAAGACTAAAATGTAACTTCATGTGTAAGATAGTTAAGCATTATTAGTGATAAAAATACAGGTTATCCCCACACAGCTATGGACTGTCAGTACAAGATGCTTCAACTAAGTAGAAAATGTGTTCACTCATTGGTCTGCTCTATTTGTGTTTCCTAACAAGACATCAGCCTGACATCTGCAGGTTGAACAAGCCGAACAAAATAATCTGCACACTGCTCCGTCAGATAATGCATAGTCAAGAAACAAACCAACAGTGCAGATCACTGTGCAGTCTTTTCTCTGTGTTCCCGGCTCAGTTAGGACTGTTAAATTCACTATGAGATAGCCATGCCATACAGTGCTGAATGTTAAAAGGTTCTTCTGTTGCATAAACAGCAAGTGACATTTAATGAGAAATGGTGCAGGCCTGTGGTTTATTTGTTTCCTTTGTTTTCTCTCACCGTTGACACATGCGGTAGATCGTAAGATTGTGTTGTAAGTTGCAATGCATGTGTGGGTACTGTGTTACTGTACTCTTGGGTTGTGTGTGTTTGTTGTGTGTGTGTGTGTGTGTGTGTGTGTGTGTGTGTGTGTGTGTGGTCAAAGCATCACTGGGTTTTTCCATTTTGGAGTGTTCTGCATGTAGTGTTAGAGTAATTTTGTGAGCTGACATTATCATTACATTGCATACTGCATATAATTAAGCATGTGACTAATAACATACCCACTTTGTGGGATATTACCTGTATTTGTATAGAGGACTGGAAATACTCTCCTGAACCACAGCACAATGTCAACCTTGAAAAGGTAGTAGATGACGACACAGATGATAAAGAGAACGGTCACACCACCGAACATGGATCCAATGGGAACTATGATGTTTGGATCTGTAGAGATGAACACCATACATATCAGACAAGTAATTTTAGGTAGTTTCTCCACCATGGATTATAATAAGATGACACTTCATTCATTCTAATTCCAAGTGTCAAAAAAGTTAATCAGGCTTTTGTGCTCTTCTCTGGCTGGGCTGTCTCCTATGACACATCCATGGCATGAAAATAATCAACTGACATTTTGCGTTTTATTGTCGCTAATGGCTCCAGCTGTGATGATACAAGAAGGAATTTGAAAATCTCCATGGGGTTTAGGTCTGGAGACTGCTGGTAGGGATGGGCATCGTTAAGATTTTAACGGTAGTACTACTCTTACTGATACTGCTCATCGATCCGGTACTTTAATGGTACTCTTATCGATACTTTTTGAGGAAGAAAAACAACTTGAACAAACAAAACATTTGTCACACTTGTGTCAACGGGCTGTGTCTGCATCAACTCTAGTAAAGTAGAACCACACTTTGGACCATTCTCTCCGCCATCATTAACTATCTAAATGAAGGCTAAGAGCTTTTGTTGCTTTTGGAGTTGGTGTGTGCGCTACACTGTCTGGAACAACAGCCCTGACCTCCACTCACACAAAAAGCAGGCAGGCAGAGTTGTAAATTAAATGTGCAAGATAACGTTTATGTAGCGGAGAAAGAAAAACAAAAAATAAAACGCAACTTCCAGTATCGATAGCAGAACTGTTATTGATACTGCGGTCTTGAATAATGTAGCCACGGGGCCCATTCAAAGCCGGGACTCGGTACCCAACCCTAGGGTGCTGGTCTTCATCATGTGAAGCCACTGTCTAGTTCTGTTCTCCTAATGGTTTGGCTAATTATCGTGCTGTGGGATGAACCCCTGGCCAACCAGTCTGTCTTCCTTTGTTACTTGCGTTTTTCTCACCATTCCGATAGCAACATAAAGTACTACTTCTTGCAGTACAGTATGTCCTTATAATGAGGGTGTAGTAACACAGTTTGCTCCACCACTGCCTATGTACAGACAGATGGTTTGTCAACCTGTAGAAATTTAACCTTTCAAGGCTTCATTTACTTCTGCTGCTTCAGGAAAACTGCAAATTAACCAATTTCTTCATCCCTGTGAGAATCCCTGTCTATGACACTGACTTCATTTTTTAGTTTTTGGTGACCTAAACTTTTTTTTACTTTACCTCTTTTACTGCTGACCTTTTGTACCATTTAATTCACTGGACTTCAATGTCTAAAACTGGAAAAATGGGGCTGGTTTTAAAATTTTTGACTGGTATAGTATGTGCTTGTTTTCTGTGATAGAAACGGAGTGATTGATGATCAATATCACTATTTCTTACCTGCTGGTAGCAGAGTAAAATACCCCTTAGGCATGCCGCGGGAACTGAACACTATACAAGTGTAGTTGATGTGAAAATCCTCCTCCTTCAGCTCAGAAACCGTCAACAGGCGCTCCAACCAGAAACCTGGTTTAGGACTATGCTGTATCGACAAACTGGTGAGAACAGATCGATAAGAAAAAAGAGAAGTAATGCAACAGATGTGATGGTACTGTGCTTGATTAGAGCAAGAGTGTCAACATGAACTTTACTTATTATTCAATTGTTGTCCCCCAAAAGCAGCAGATAAACAAAGCAAATAGAAGGACAAGTAAAAGTACTGACCGTTGTTCTGATGTGTAGACTCGGTCAGAGGGGTCGGCATTGAAAATGTAATCTCTGCCTGACCAAATGACATCAATAAAGTGCGTCCCGATACCCGGCACAAACACACGGCACCGTTTGGTGAAATTGGACCCTAAACGCATACACAAACAATAAAACAACCATTTCTCTTAATCTATAAAGCTAAACTTAAAGTTAAACAACAAACATTTAAACTGTAAAACGCCATATTTCTCAGAATATGTTACAGACTCACCCATCTGTGCCTTGATTATTTCATTGGCTGGTTCATGCACTTGTGGAACCATAGAGTACACAGCTGAAAAGAGAGCCAACAATAAATACAGTACAGTAACAGAGGTGGAGGTTGTCTAATCATGGAAATATACAGCATATGGAATGACACCAAACAGTTACTATCTTTTTTTTTTTTTTAATTTTTTTTTTTAATAACAGCTCCTCCCTGTTGCTTGTGATCTATTCAGGGTGGTGGAAGTAATTCTCACATTCTGCTGTGTTTTGGACAAACCTAAAGCCTAAAGTCCTTCTCTTGCACACTCAAACACTTATCTCCATTCTGACCTGTGACCTCTGCTTTAATTGTCTCTGACACGGATCCCGTGATGCCACCGAGGGTGAAGGTCAGAGTACAGGTGTGGGTGCTGTTGTGTTGCTCTTCCACCTTTTTAATTGAAATTTTGGTCCTATCCCTGTAGCTATACCCATCTTTCCCCTCCACTATGGGCTCACAACCCTAGATGAGGAAGAGAAAAACAAAGGTCAGGCTTTTAATAATGACAATATGTAAAAATAAAAAGACTTCTTTAGCAACATAGACAGCCAGTAAGTTTGTAACCGAAGGAAATAGTTGAAATAGTGGCAGTAGGTACTAAAAGAAAAAAACCCAAATTATATTAAGGTAACTTGAATCTATGTTAGATTACTTATTCATTGTAAAATATAGATTTTTAATTTGCCAAACTGACATGCCCCATGATTATGTTAAATTGTCTGTATAGATCTGGCCGAGTAACAACAACTGGACTGAACTTGATGGGTTATCATGGCATTCAGCAAGACTTTCCCATAACTCACTCTGTACCACGTGAGGGAGGAACTGATGTTGTAGCTGTCCAGTTTATTGATATAGTCCTTCAGAGGGCAGGACAGGGTGTCAGCGACTCCAAGTGTAAGTGATTGATCAACTTTCCTTGGCCTTCCACACTCTCCAGCAATTGGTGGTTCCACTACAAGACTGGTGGCCTGCATGTAGCAGTGAAAAGGAGTTCTGTTGGAAAATTTAGAAGAAAATTAGCTTTTTCAACTTTTATTTTACTGCAAATAAGCAATAAGTGGCCTATCAACCCCCTATCAAACTTTTCAATTTATAAACGCCTGATCGACGTTCATTAAAATGATCGCAATTGCTCATGCCTTTGCAAATGTCAAGACGATATTTGACTTGTTTTCCCACTAATCTAGCAATTTATTATTTGTAGTATTGAATTAATATTGAATTTAATTTGCCCTGCCACAGTTTAACGTATATAAGTGCATATAACCATGCTTGCAACACACACACACACACACACACACACACACACACACACACACACACACACACACACACACACATGATCAGCTAATTGTAATGAAGCTGCTTGTTGTGCATAGGAGCCGTGCTGTGATTTAAGAGTGGAGATCGACAGACAGACAGAACACGTCATTTGATTTGGTTTATTATCCTGCTGCTTTTTATGGTGGTAAATAGAATTTGACCTGGTGTCAGGATTATCCAGTCAGCACAACTTTGCTTGATAGTGTCCTCCATTTTTACTCATTGGTTTAGCCCACTGATTGGTCAATAGGGAATGCAATAGGTCAAGCTGATCACGCCCTCTGCTGGACCATGAGGCAAACTACTTCAAATGGTATCTTGAGCTTCCAGATAAATTTTTGGCTAGACAGCAACAGTGGGGCCTGAGTGATGGTATTTCCACCTTTGGTCATCAGAGTGCAGAGCTCCAGACAGAGCTGCTTAGTCTTTCTCTCTCTTTTTTCGCTCTCCAGTTTTTCCGTCTCTCTCTCACTATGAATAAAATAAAGACAAAAGCCTGAAAAAAAAAAAGAAGAAAGATAGTCTGTCTCTCCTAACTTTCTCTCTGAGTAATCATCAGTAAATACATCTGAAATCACAACTCAGTCTTTCTTTCATTTATTCGTTTGGTGAGTTTGACGTTGCAGTTTAAAAATCTGGATCAGGTCCAGCCACATACTAGGTTTTGACCTAGTCTTGTTTAATTCATAGAATATTCACAGAAATTCATATAGTGTAGACATACACACAAACACACCAGGATAAATTTTCCATTGCTTCTTTCAAGTTTCAATTGATATTTCTATCTTTGCTGATGCTACCGTACCTCAGTATGGTCACATATTCCCCACTGTCTTCTGGTGTTGCATTAAGAAACCACAGAGTCTCTCCATGCACAAGGGTTCGACCGGTCTGGTTGCTCATTTTTTGACCTGTCCTTGAGTCATACCAGGTGATGTTGTATGGGACAGTTGTGATGTTAAAGACGTCTGGAGATACTAAGGTGCTATTCAGCATAGCCATGTCCCCAGGAACAGAGAAAACCCTCTCAAACTGGGTCTTGTAGTTGTTGCAGGTATCTGCAACAAAGAAAGAAAGAGAATAGATTTATTTATTCAGCCATTCAATACAACTTTGAGCAAACTAATGTCAAATTTAAGATTTTTCCAGCAAGAAATATTATTTGGCCTTACATTTTTACTTTCACATATTAGGTAAAAAAGATCAGCCATGAGAAAGAGAGTCTGCATTAGACCATTCCTTCTTGCTGGATTTTGTTTTTGACATTCCACTAGTACCTCAAGGATTTAGAGCTGCACAGACTGGACATGGTGCCTGACTTCCAGTATTTTTCCATGATACTCCATCGTCACTTAGATGGATTCTTGCCATTCCCTGGCAGCTGTAACTGAAACTACGGAACATTTTCTTTTGTTCCCATTATACACCTAGACTATTAGAGAACTGAAGCTCAAATAAGAATTGAATTGGTTCACCATCATACACAGTATCATGTATATATGGTGTATACTTTTTTAGTTGTGATGCTGTAATTAAGTCTTCAAGTTTGAACAGGTTTCCCCTTATTGTGTTTCATAGAAACAGCAACGCATCGTTTTCTATATTTATGAACATTGGTACTGAGCATGTCTGCTGTCTGCTTCACATTCACATCTGGAGCTGCCCGGTATTACTACATCTATTAATGGTCACTGAGCTGCTAAAGGGTTAATGCCTTTTCTTGGTGACACTGTTGTTAAAGTAGAATTACTCAGGTTAATTTAATCTCCTCTTGTCCAGCAGCTAGAACAAGTTAGACCTCACAAAATAAATGAATATACAAATAAAACTTAAATGGTAACGTGCCATTTTGCAGCATCCTGTAGAGTTAAACTTTGTTGTCTGGTCAGGTTCTAATCGCAGCTCAGCTACTATAGCACTAAACATCATCATCGTCATATGCACTTCGATTACAACGGCAGCCTGGCAGTCTGCTTTTTTCCAGTCAGAAATCAGTGTTAGACTTCAGAAGAGCCCACTTGTCATAACAGTTACACACAAGTTGCTGCAGTTACAGCAGTGGTCACAGGGTGGCGATAAAATGCTTCTGTACACACTGGAGGCAGACGTTAGCGTTAGACTTGGCAGTTACAGTAGTGTTTATGTGCTTCTGTGGAGTTCGGAGAAAAGTGTGACTCCGCTCACCTTGTTCAAATCCTGTACAGATCCCGTATAACCCGATGAAAATCAGAAGACTTCCTAATGTTGAAATCAGGCCCATGGCTGAAAAACACACACATAAACAACAGTAAGAAATGAACATGTACTACAGATCAGACTGAAAATGCTACAGGAAAAAAGGCTGCAACTACAGCCTGAAGCAGAACAGAAGCTGACAACTTACTGGAACACTTGTGACCGAGGACACTGACAGGTCACAAAAGGCTTTGAAACACAGCAATAATCAGCAAAAACAGTTTTCTTTCCTCTTTAAGCCAAATTTCACACTACCTTATATTTCTGAAACTCCGTCTCCCTTCCTCTGTCTGCCTCTCCTTTCCCCTCTCTGCCTCCCTCCCTCTATCTATCACCCTCAAACACAGATGACAAACATTCTGGTATTTCAGGAGTCATTTGTTTAGAAACCACTGACAAAAAGCTGCGTAATGGTTTGGAACTGGACAGAGGCCCAGTCTGAACGCTGGGGGGGGTGAACATTCCTGCTCAGTCTTGCCTGTAAATCTGTGAATGAACACTGTTAACCTTTTGCGGGAAATTTTCTTCCTCTTTTTCTCAAACTTGTACAAATACCACTATACTATTACTCTGCTAGTTCAAGTCAGTCAAGGAATTATCATGACTCCAGAGAAAATTCTCTGTTGCCTTTAGTGTTTTACAAAACATAAGTAAGAAGTATTCAGACTACACTGTGATTACACTATTAATATTTTATTAACTCTTGTCTGCAGTTATGTCTGCAGATATTTGTGAAAATATGAACTAGTGTTTGTGTCTTGATGGATTCTTGTCCTTTTATCTTTTGGTATTTCTCACCAATAGTAGGTGGTATTGGTTCCCTTTCCCACTAATATTTTGTGTCGCGTAATTTCAGGTTGTAAGTTACTCTTGGTCTACAGCCTGCTTACATTCACTTTTTATATCGCATGTGGCTCCAGTGGGATAAGTAGCATGAATCACATTAACACTGATATTTTACCACAACATTAAATGTACAGTGAGCACTTTATTAGGAACACTTGCACACCTGCCTATTCATGCAATTATCCAAACAGCTAATCATGTGGCAGTAGCACAGTGCATGACATCATGCAGATACAGGTCAGGAGCTTCGGTTAATGTTCACATCAAACATCAGAATGGGAAAATGTGATCTCAGTGACTTTGACTGAGGCATGATTGTTGGTGCCAGACGGGCTGGTTTCAGTGTTTCTGAAACTGCTGGTCTGGGATTTTCATGCACAACAGTGTCCAGAGTTTTTACTCAGAATGGAGCCAAACACAAAAAACATCCAATGAGCAGCAGCTCTGTGGATAGAGACTCCTTGTTGATGAGAAAGATCAGAGGAGAATGGCCCGACTAAGTAGGAGCTGACATATACAGTACAGGCTATGATAACTCAGATAACCACTTTGTCCATCTGTTGTGAGCAGTGGGCTCAGGCTCACCAAAACTGAACAGTTGAAGACTGGAAAAATGTAGGCTGGTGTGATGAATCTGCATTTCTGCTGAGGCAGCAATCATTGTTTGAATTCCACACCCTATCTGAGTATCGTTGCCGACCATGTGCTTCCCTTTATGGTCACAATTTACCATCTTCTACTATCATTTTTGGTTTCATTAACCTGACAATGACTTCAGTGAAACTCACTACAGTGACCTCCACTGTCACCAGATCTGAATCAAACAGAACACCTTGGTAGAACGGGAGATTGGCAGCATGAATGTGCAGCTGATAAAGCTACAGGAATGATGTGATGCATGCACATTAACATGGACCAGAATCTCAAAGGAATATTTCTAACTTCTTGTGGAATCCGTGTCAGACAGAATTTAGGCTGTTTTGAGAGCAGTGTGTCAGAGCGTGTCAGTGTCAGTCTGTTGAATGATGTATTGGTCAAAACATATTTGTGGTTGTTGAAGCTTGCGACTTTTGTAATCCAAAGTAGGTGTGAAAACGGAGGCTACAACAGTTTATAGGTTTTACTTTTTATGTTAGGTTAGGTCAACACCTGTGCAAGCCTGAGTACACTTATGATAAGTATCTTTTTAGAATTTTCAGTATGTTACTTTTAGAAATATAATATTTTTCTAGAAATCTTTCTTTTCATTTAACAAAAGAAGAAAAATGTATTATGATGTGTAAACAGAAGAAGCTTTTAAGAAATAAAATATGACCTAAAACTGAATAAAAATTCTCAGAACTTATTTGTTAAAGAGCACAGCAAGTAATGTACGAATGTATAAAAAAAACATTGGCGCAGGACCTTAATTTACTTCTATAGGAAAAACTTATATTTCACAGTGAGCTTTCCAGAGAAATCACGGGGGAGTCATGATTGGTTGTTTGATAAAGGACCAGTTCTAGCTAGTATTATCAGCTCAGCATATATTGGATGTCCAGTCATCTGGGTGGGATTGTAATGAAAGTATGTGACTAAAGCTAGAAACAGACATAAATGCATTTGAGTGGGCACTGACTCAGTTAAATAGAACTCTGAGTCCTCCTTGTGGATCTGAAATCCAGTGACTAAAGCTCCAAAGGGAATTCAAAGGGATTCAAAAAAGAATGCGTATAAAGTATAATCAAAAAGTTTTTAATTTCTCACACTTGACAACCAGTTGATTCATCTGTGGCTCATTTTGGCTCATTTTGCTGTCTAGTAATAGTTTTGGAATTGGATCTGCGATGAACACAAGGACAACTTACTTGAACTCTTGAATTACTTCTTTCTATGTTAGTAATGTTTTAAAAATAAAAACTTAAGTTGGTAAGATAAACCAAATATCTGTATTGGCTTCCTTAAGAAGTTGTAAAAAGCCAAGGTTATGGCCCAAGAGTATATAGATGAATTTTGCAAGACAGTCATAACACACTGTTTAACATACATGGTTAAATTGGTTGGAACAGTAGCTTCAGTACTGTATTTGAACTTAGCATCAAGCCACATTCAGATAGGAAAATCCTCAGCAGATAGCAGATCTAATCTAACCACATCTACCATAGCATGCATTCACAATGCTGTATTAAACATCAGCGTTTCCACTACCATTTTCTTGTTTGTGGCTTCTATAAAACATTTTGCAGAAAGTGCAAGTGCTTCACTGGCAGTTATGATGGTCAGGGTTTCTGCCAGTGTATTACAAATCTGGTGGAAAAGAGCCCCAGAGACATCTGTTGATTAAAAATGGTTTGTCCTCCCCCTGGCTTTGGGTTGACCCTGACTGAAGTTGAGGGTATTCTGCTCATGTCAATCAAACACTTGTAGCTTTGCATTTTCTGAGTGCTAAGACAAACGCAAGCCTTAGCAAGCAAACAGTAGTGACGAAATGAGGAAAATTATCTAAACCACGATCTATATCTCTCACTTGCTACAGGAAGAGACACATGGAAACAAAGCTGTGTAGATGGAGATTGCACTGGTGGTTTAGCTGGCTGCTGTGCGTGTGAGGTGCTGCAGATGCTGTGGTGTGAAGGTGCTGATCCGAAAGGTGTGAGCAGCAAACGCTGTGGTTTGAAAAAGTTTAACTTTCACATCTGTTGTTCAGTTTACTTCGTCCAGACCAAGGGAAACAAATACAGATTTCTGCATTTTAGCACCAAGAGAAGTAAATATGAAGTCATAGAGACTGACAGATGATTGAATGACTGGACACTGGTGATGGTGATGGTCATCCTGCATCATCAACGCATCATCAGGACCCACGTGGAGAATGACTTGTTGCTTTTGATATGTTTATGTTCTCTGCTGTCACAAAGAGTTCACAAAAGAATAGCTGATTATAAGCATTATTACTATTATTAGACTGCACATCATCGAATGCTTTTACTGGTGCTATTACTGGTGGACCGCTGTTACACACTTTTTAATGGGCTTAAATTATGTAAAACTTCATAGTTTTACATTGTGTCATGTATGGACCTAGAAATACACAAAGTAATAATCCATGGTCCTAAGTGGTATTCAAGTGAAAAAACAAACATGGAGATTGCATGTTGGAGCGTTAAGAACCATAGGATAAGTGCTCTACTTTTTTGAGTGTTCATTAAGAACCTTAAAAGAATATCAAACTTTGTTTTAGAACACACAGGTTTCAGTTGCTGCGTCTGGTTATTGTTAGGGATCCAGAGTTTTAGGAGCACTTAGGGAGCATAGTTTTACTCTGGGACAAGCCCAGGCAGAGAGGAGCGTGGGAAGAGTGCAGTCGGTTCAGTAGGCAATGACGGAGACATGAGAGCATGGGAGGCTGGGGTGAAATGGAAATGACTGTGTCAGTGGAGGAGAGAAATATCTGAGTGTTTTTCCTTGCAACTGGAGGCCTAGAAGTGTTGGTGATTGGCTGTGCAGTAGGTTGAGCAGTGGTTTAGACCGTTGGTTTTCTTTTTGTTTTTTCCATTTTGTTTACCAAGTTTATTTAGTACCACACTTTGACACTTTGTGTCATCTTTAATAATTCACTTTACAGCATTTTCTTTACTTCACTTCCACATATTACTGATAATCTATCCGGCGCTTAACTGCAGACAACAAGTTAATAAAAATATGTCTTCCTGGTAGGAAACTGTTAAAAGAAAAGAGGAAAAGAGGTTGCTCCTGCCCAGTGTTGATACAGTGGCTTTTTGTTTCCACGTCTGCTTTCAACCTTGAGGCTTTTCTGAACCTTTTCTGACTCTACACAGTCTAGACAGTCTATAGGGTCACAGAGACCATAACTAATAGTGCATTTGTATCTATCTATACACATGGAATACGAAATGCAGTAATACGTCGACAAAAGCAGGGAAGGAGAAGACTGCTTGCTAGTAAACATGGATGTAAACAATGCTGGTAAAAGATAAGATTGAAGTGTTTCATGAGGATGGAAATACATTCCTCATATTTGGTAAACCCCAAGAGTACACACAGTGTATTTTGGTGAGTAACACCGAATGTAAACATAACTCCACACGTCACCTTTTAAAGTAACTAGACTGTTTTAAAAAGTGCAAGGTGCTGTGTTGTTTCACATCCTGATCACACTTAAATATGACACAGGACGGGCG